CATCACGTAAAAAAACTAAAATATAAACTACATCAATATCATCAATATACTCAATATACTCTCCAATAAGCTGAGCTACTAACAGTAAGTCACACATTACAATTCTATGTCGCAAAAAATATATAATATGCCTCCAGATATTTTTTTTACATCACACGGATATACCCCGTACTATATACTACCATAGACAAACCCAACCTTAAATTATACACTGCATTACTATACACCACCCTATACCTTAGACTATACATTGTAATATTACACTATGTATTATTCTACCCACCCTACTGTATACCAGCTCCTTACTATAAAAAAGTCCTTCCCTTTATTACTGCTAATCCTACTTCCTCCCTATATTACTGCTAATCCTACATAATACACGAGCATAATATGACTTTGATACCCCCCCATCACCTACACATTCCACAAGTAGTGACTAATCCCATATCTGCATTTTCCATAATATGCTAAATTCCTCTGTTGATATGCAAATTCCTTTGTCAAGGCGCCCTCCTCTAATCCAGCTTAAATATACGCTGCCAAGCTTGGTGGTGTTCATTCAGACGCTGTCTTTCCGACAGATCTGTTCTTCACCTGAGGACGGCTGCTTGCGTTGTGGCCGAAACGTCGTCAGAATTGTATTTTATTATGTAAAAATGTTATTATTTTATTATTTCCCTTCTACGTGACTTTACCGATAGAACCAAGAAGATGTGGTGTTGGTGTTATTGTTGCCATTGTTTACGTTATTTTATAAGGTGCAGCAGACCCAACAAAGGGCTTCAGAGCACCGCACGGACAACAACAATCATCTCTGAGTTTAACACGTTGGCTTTCGCGACCAATATCATCCATAATATAGAGTTTTTTTTGGGTGAGATCGTGTAAATATGTACGTGACCTAACCCACAAAAATCTCGATATTATGGGTTAACATCTCTCAGTTGGTCTCACATGCGGGAGATGTTTGCGTGCCCGCGTCGGTTTGGAAATGCGCTTTTGGTCTCGAACTCGAGCCGCAGCCTCCCCGTCAAGGAACCACTTCCACCTCGGGGTCGTCACGGAAACCAAGATCGCCGGCAGCAGCGCCCCGAGGGGCAAACGCGAGCGGTCCATGACTTGCAGATCTCTCTCTTTCTCTCTTTTTTATGTTTTTTTACTGCAGGTCCGATGCATTGTGTTGAGGTTTATTTTTAATGAAGCTAAGACGATGACAATTATTCACCGGGGCTAACTGGCGCTCACGAGAGCTGATGTCACTCGGCCACGTTTCATTTGCCGGTGGCCAGGTTGTGGCTCAGGCCTCATTGATCAGATCCGCCGATCCGTCACCGCTGAGATCCGAGTTTGAATCCCTGGTTCAATAGAGAGGGCTTCAATAAAGAGGGCTTCAATAAAGAGGGCTTCAATAAAGAGGGCTTCAATAAAGAGGGCTTCAATAAAGAGGGCTTCAATAAAGAGGGCTTCAATAAAGAGGGCTTCAATAAAGAGGGCTTCAATAAAGAGGGCTTCAATAAAGAGGGCTTCAATAAAGAGGGCTTCAATAAAGAGGGCTTCAATAAAGAGGGCTTCAATAAAGAGGGCTTCAATAAAGAGGGCTTCAATAAAGAGCAGAGGGCTTCAATAAAGAGGGCTTCAATAAAGAGGGCTTCAATAAAGAGGGCTTCAATAAAGAGGGCTTCAATAAAGAGGGCTTCAATAAAGAGGGCTTCAATAAAGAGGGGTTCAATAAAGAGGGGTTCAATACACCTGTTTTGTGGAGAAGCACCTATGAAGGTCGGCACGGCACACGAGGGGGGGGGGTGGCCAACACCACGCTCGGCCGCCTTTGTCTCCCCAGTGGCGATGTTTACTATACACCGCACCAGGTACTAATTTGAGGCTGAGTCGACCTAGGGAAGGCCCAGGACCGAGCGGTTCAGATAATCGTCACTGGTTTTGGCCGTGAGAACGACGTTTAGGCTGTCGCCTGATGACACTGGTTGTAACTACAAGCGAAACATCGTACTCAAATTGTAAATGTTGTGGGTTTACCCTCCAATACACCGGTGTGCTGAACTAGTGCTGTGGTGGCGAGATGTTAACTACCTCGCCTCGTATACAGGAGGTTGTGGGTTCGATCCCGACCGCGACGCCTGCTGCTGTGTATTTGAAATTTGCGCGTTCTAGCCGTGGTCGCATGGATTTTTCTCCAAGTTTAAAATCAACACACGTCTGGAGTATTTGACTGCTGTAGATTTGCACACGATGATAAGCCACTTTGTTGAGCTGTCATTTGTGGCCATGTCACGTCTGAAAAAGAGCTCTCGAGCTCAGTGGGCCTTAGCTGGTAAAAATAAAAAAGTTTAGTTTTTATTTAGCTTATATAAAACTTTTATTTGCGGCCCTATTCTTCCTGTCTCTGTCCTACTGTGCTGAATGGGTTTCCTATTCCCGCACGGCCAATCAATTCCGTTGCCCGCGGAATATATCCTCAGAATTTAAAACGCGGTGACAAACATCAGCCTCAGGTGCCGTTTCATTGTCGTCTGTTGTATTGCAGTTTTTTTTATTTTAAAATAAATATTGTGTACATTTTGGTGACAATCTGAGTCTCTCCTGCAAAAGGAGACATCCCACGAGCGTCAGCTGCTTGCCCAATGTAAACGACGGGAACTAAACCGAGATTCCCCGCCGGTTTTGCCGACGCCAAACCCCCCCCCCCCCCGGCCGCCCCTTGCAGGATCGCCGGCGGCGGCAGCAGCAGGAGATGGTGGCGCAGGAGAAGGAGGTGGCGGACAAGGTGGCGGCGCGGGCGTTCGCCAAGCGCTACCTGGGCGACCTCATCCCGGCCGTGTTCAGCAGGTGCGCGACACGGGATACTTCTACGACCCCGTCGAGAGGGGTGCGCGGATGACCGCGGCGGAGCGCGACGCCGCGCGTCCGACCGTCGTGGCGGCACCGCCCGATCAATTAGCCGCCCCCCCTCCCCTCCCCCCGTGCGCCGTGAGGAGAGGTGGCGCCGCCACTTTAGCAGCGGGTTTGGCAGTCGCAATTCATTCTGTTGCGGTGCCTCCGTCCACACGTCTCCCACGTGTGCGTTCCCTTGTGCCTTCCCGTACATCCATCCGTCTGTCGTTGTACCGCCCTGCGGCGTGGCGACCCGGGTTCGATTCCCGCTCACGGTCGACACCGGTGACGATTATCTGAAACCGGTCCTGGACCTCCCATAGGTCGACTAGGCCTCAAATGAGTACCTGGTGCGGTGTGTAGGCATCGCCACTCGGGAGATAAAGGCGGCCGGGCGTGGTGCTGGCCACCCACCCCCTCGAGTGCCCTCATAGATGCAACTCGCGAACAGGGCTTGCCCCAACGGACTGCTACAGGTTATACGGGTCTCTTTGTACTGCCCTGTGTGATGACCCCACGTTTCCCCGTGTGTCCCTAGATGTGGAGAATGCGTTCATGCCCTGGCTGATGAACGCCGTGGAGGCAGAGCTCCATAAGGCACTGGAGGCCCGAGCTCTCCTGGACTGTGAGCAGCCAAACACCTACAATACATCAATACAAATTTACAAAGTGCACACAACAACAACACAATAATCGCCATTTGCCACTAAGCGGCAGTGACTTGAAGTGTCAAGCGCCCGCTGACAGGAGGTCACAGGACCGACCCAGGTGCCATGGGTTGACTGACTTGAGATGACTGGCCGATACACCATGTGAACCCACATACACGCAGGCATACACACGTATATATACATAGACATTCGGTACTTATACACACGGTATATCCACAAGTTACGTGCATTAAACATATACACCTGTACACCCTACATACACATGTACATTCTCTCAGTTTGCTGCGTTTGCCAGGACCAAGTTGGTACTTATTCAGTCTCTGGATCTTAGTGCATAGAGGGTAGGGGATGTTGAAGCCCGAGATGGCAGCACGCCCTCTTGAGCTGAGAGTCAGGAGAGACTTCTACACATTTTCGGAAGCGCTCACAAGCCTGGGTTGTTCTCGTTCTTCGCAGCGATCATCCGCGACGTGGCAGCTCGTAGAGAGAGGAGCTACGGAGGAGGAGAGCCTTCTGAGAGCTAAGGACACCTGGGATGTCATCTGAAGTGACGCCAACCCAAAACATCTTCCCCATTCTCGGTGGTTTCAGAGGAATCGTAATGGCTGCGTCAAAGCCACCGAGTTCCTGGCTTCGAATCCAGAGCTTCCCATTCGTGTGGTATTGCAAAAAGAAGGCGATGTCTTACAGAGTATAATGCTGTTGTGCTATATTGCCAATGAGTGAGCACAACAATAAATGTAATTGTCAAACTGGATTTTTGCTTCATTCCTGAATGTGAATCAAATACATTTCTTTTTGGTAAATATACCTGCAATGGATATCATTGCGTTGATGTGAATGTACTTGAATGTTGGAGGGTTGTTGAAAAGTCTGTGTCTGAACAAAGCAAGCGATGGGTGACCTGGTTAGCGTGGCAGCCAAGAAAAAGAATGCGTCTGAGAGGGCCCGTACACTGAATGAGATGCAGCGATGACATCAGTTCGTGCGAAAGTGCTCGACTGATTATTGAAATGCAAGATTCGTGAGAGGTGTTGGTGGCATGGAAAGGCCTTCGTCCACAGCTGATGATAACATGGTTAGACGACGTTATATTCATACACGTTCCCGTTGAAGTGAAATACTCTTGGTCCATCATCATCATCGATGTCCCAAGGCTTTAGTCCCCACCCTGAAGAACACCGCCAACTCCTCGCCATATCGCAGCCCCACGCCTCCAACACCTGGCAAGCCCTGGTGGTCACCCGTCCCAAGCACCAACCAGGCTCAAAAGCCTGCTTAGCCTGACGTGCGATGAGGTTGGGCACGGTCCATTCCTCACTCAAGATGAACCGCAAGTGCTGGGTGTTTTCTCGGTGTAGAAGATTACATCGAGGCCTTCAGCATGAATGTGTGTGTACCTTGACGAGCTCCGAGTAACGCACATGGCTGCACAGTTCATCTGTTTGAATTTTTTTTATTTCACATTACAGGCGAAAGCAATTCACTTCGATAGCACGTAAGGGTATATAGGTCTTTTCAAAGGTTGGGGATAGGGGTGACTTGATGGTGATGGAATGTTCATTGAGGGTTACATGTGTGTAGGTGTTGGTGTAATCTTCTGGATGTGTCTGGTCAGGAGGCATTTGTTGGCTGGGTTCATCTGAAACAAAATAATGACATGCGCTTTTTTTATACTCAACATACATTTGTGTCTATATTGACGAACACACACACACCAAGATCCCCATTTAGCCTTGCATGCTGTTGGAGCAAGTACTGTTAGCGAGCACCTATGAAGGCCAGCATGGCACAAAAGTAGGTTGTGTGGTCGGCATCACGCCTGGCCGCCTTTGTCTTCCCAGTGTCAAAACACAATACCATTCCAATACACTTGCCACCATTCGCCACTAAGCGGCAGTGACGTCACCATGCCGCCTGTGCCAGGTTAGGTGCACTCCGACGCCACGTGATGTGTCGGAACTGACTCCGGTGCCATGGATTGCCTGACCAAGATGACTGATAGATGCACCAAAGACAAAGACTCCCCATATAGCCTTGACCGACTGTTGGGGCAAGTGCTGTTAGCGAGCACCTATGAAGGCCAGAATGGCACACAAGGGGGTGGGTGGCCAGCGCCACGCCCGGCTGCCTTTGTCTCCCCGGTGGCGATGTTTACACACCGCACCAGGTACTCATTTAAGGCTGAGTCGACCTCGGGGAGGCCCAGGACCGGGTCATATATTCGTCACCGATGTTGGTCATGGAATTGAACTCGGGTCGCCGGGTTCGTAGCGCAGCGCGCTGACCGCTACACTACCGCTCCCCACTGTTTTTTGGCAGCTGCACCACACAGACTCGCACACACAGACCCCACACCGCCACTAAGTGGTGGTGACGTCGCCACTAAGTGGTGGTGACGTCGCCACGGCGCTCGTGCCAGGCTAGGTGCACTTTGAGGCTGTCACGTGAAGTGCGCACGGCTCGCTGCTGGCATGAGGAGGTCAAGGGGCAGACCCAGAGGCGCAACGACCAACAGGCCTCCCCACTCCCCGTGGCTACGGAGCGTGCGTCTCCGCCTCACCTCGCCGCTTACACCAAGGGGTAGCTGGCGGCGGTGGCGATGCCGCACTGGTTGTTCTTGTTGCGGCTCATCAGGATGTAGCCCTTGCTGCCCCAGTCCGCGCCCCAGCTGCTCGCGGGGACGGAGAGACACGGGGAGACGGGTCGAAGGGGGGTTAACAGCGGGATAAATAATGATTGAACACATTCGTCAATAACACTCCGCCTTCGAAAGGAAACTGAGCGTTTCGTTTTAATGAGCGGATGTCTCGGGAGGTTATTGTCAATTGTGCTTGAGCACCACTGTCAACGCAGCAGCACCATTTGAATCAGTTCTGTTTCACGGGGAAACACAGGGGGTGCTTCAAAAAGATGTGAACACTTCTCAGAGTGTGCGACAATACCATGAACAAAAGTGCTGCCTCCTCTGGGCTCTGGAGACCACCTGGAGAAGATTCCAGGCACGCGTTGACAACGATGGCGAACAAGAGACTTTGACTTTTTGAAGCTATCAACATCCACTTGTTATCGTGTTACAGCGATAGTCCCATATAAGTGTTCGCATTTTTTTAAGCACCCTGTGTATAGAGAGGGAGGGCGAGACGATTGGGTATAAGAGAGCCACGGGGGAAATGCGGGACAGCGTGTGGAGAGGGCACGTGGTGGGGGGGGGGGGGGGCGTGCGGAGGGGGAAACGTAGAGACGGACGAGACGCGGGGCCCTCGCCTGTTCTTGACGAGCCAGAAGTCGGCGCTGTCCTGGGTGCCGTAGCCCACGGCGAGCACTCCGTGGTCCAGCTGCTGACTGCTGCACATCGGCTCGTCGTAGACGCCTGGGCAGGTGGGTGGTGAGAGGTAGACACACACACGGCGTACACACACACACGGTGTACACACACATTCAAGAATAATCCAAATATCCTCCGTGTAACCTGCGTAGCGTTAGGGTAAGTGCTGTTATTTACCATCTATTAAGGCCACAACGTCACGCAAGTGGTGTGGGGCCAGAACCACGCCAGCCAGTCATCGTGTCTCCCCCACTACTGTGCCAACTGTGTTTTAGCCACCCGGCGCTCCGCTCGTTGTTGTGAGCATCGCACCGCCGCCCTCCGTTGTGGTTGTTGGGAGGGCGACTCGCACCGCCAACTGTCCATGAGCAGCAGCAGCAGCGTCCTTCACGAGCCTTCTCCTCCACAGAGGCCGATCTTGACGCCGCCGGTACCCGGGCATCGGCAACGTCCACTCGGTTCATCAAAACCACGGCACGGAGCCGGCGCGCTGCTCACCGGAGGCGTACAGCTGGAATGAGGGATTGCTGGCGTCGATGCCCACGGAGACGGGACCCACGGACGCCACGGCCTGCTTCAGCTGGGCCTCGTCGCCCGAGGGGATGTCCACGAAGCCCGTGCATGTCGCCCCGATGCAGCCCGGCTTGAACTTGCAGACTCCGTCCTGCGTCGGAGGCACGCCGGACCGCACGGCACCAATCGTCACGGCAGCAGCAGTGACATCGCCATCAATCATCGAGGCGAATAGCAGTGGAATCAAAACCACGTCAAATGTCGTCAGGACGAGGGTCTCTGGACGTCAGGATGAAGATCTGGGGAGTCCTCGACACGCACACACCGACGGACACTCGCACGCGTACAACCGCCGCCATTCGCCACTAAGTGGCGGTGACGACACCACGGCGCTCGTGCCAGGCTAGGTGCACGGTGAGGCCACGTGAAGTTGTCGGAACGCCCGCCGGCAGGAGGTCACGGGGCAGACCCAGCAGGTGCCACGGGTCGTCCGACCGAGACGACCGCTGCCCGATGCACCACCCGTGCCCTTCCCGTGCCCCTCCCGTGCTCCCTCCCGTGCCAACACGCACGCACCATGGCGGTGTAGGGGTAGCACTCCTCCGTGTCGATGCCCTTGTTGGCGATGATGTACTGGAAGGCGTTGTCCATGAGGCCTCCTTCGCAACCGTTGTTGCCGAAGCTGCCCGAGCAGTCCACCAGCTGCTGCTCGCTCAGCGACACCAGCTTCCCCGTCGCGGCGAAGTGCTGCCCCTCCAGCGAGCCCGTCTGTCCCGGGGGGGGGGGGGCAGCACACGGACACGAGGCTCTCACGGCGGTCGCGCAGCCCGGAGACACAAGGTGGATACAAGGTGGAGAGACACGCGAGTTGGCACGCAGTGCGGACTCAGGGCGATGGGCGCTGTCCACTCACGGCGCTGAAGGCCCAGCAGGAGCCGCACTGGCCCTGGTCCTTGACCCCGGTCACGTAGCCGCTGTCCCTCCAGTCCACGCTGGCCGGCGCCACGGCGTCCCGCGCGGCCAGGAAGGTGGAGGGGGCGCGCGGCTCGCGGCGCGTGCGGTTCAGGAGGCAGTGGCCCACCACGAGGTCACGGAACTCACGGCCCGTCTGGGTGGGCGGACAGAGGTGGCGCGGGGGGAGGGGGGGGATGGAGGGAGGGGGGAATGGAGGGGGGAGGGAGGTGAGGGAGGGGGTGAGGGAGGGAGGGGGGAGGGAGGTGAGTGAGGGGGTGAGGGAGGAATGGAGGGTTAAGAGGGTGAGGGAGGGAGGTGGGAGGGTGGAGGAAGGGAGGGGGGAGGGAGGGGGTAGGTGAGTGAGGTGGGGAGGGAGGAGGGAGGGAGGAGTGAGGGGGGAGGCAGGGAGGGAGGAGGTAGGGGGAGGTAGGGGGGAGGGGGGGTGAAGGAGGGAGGGAACGACCCATCGCAGATCCCGAGTCACCACCGCATCCCAAGCGGCTAGGAGTTCCCCATCATCGTGTCTTTGTCTGCCCGGATCAATCCGGGGACTTTCGGGTAAATGTCTGGAAATTGTGGCCCAGACGACGGCGCCGTGGGCCACGCCACTTCGAACACGACCAACGCCGTGCCTCGCTACACATCCTGCAGCCACTGGGAGCTGTTGAACTCGTCAATCATCTGCATTGCCACGCTCATTTATTTCAGGCAGCTTTTTGGTGTTTTCGTTTGTTATCTTCCCCCCCCCCCGCATCTACGAAGCCAACTTAGTCATAGGTCTCATAGGCTCATCACACAGAGACCCATAGACTCACTACACAGAGACCCATAGACTCACACAGAGACCCATAGACTCACACAAAGACCCACAGACTCACACAGAGACCCATAGACTCACCACACAGAGACCCATAGACTCACACAGAGACCCATAGACTCACACAGAGACCCATAGACTCACCACACAGAGACCCAGACTCACACAGAGACCCATAGACTCACCACACAGAGACCCATAGACTCACACAGAGACCCATAGACTCACACAGAGACCCATAGACTCACCACACAGAGACCCATAGACTCACACAGAGATCCATAGACTCACCACACAGAGACCCATAGACTCACACAGAGACCGATAAGAGGAGTGGAGGGAATTGGAGGATGCCTTTACCCTGTAGTTGGATGCTCACAACAACAACAATCACCACCAGACACAGCAGCAGTAGCAGCAGCACAGCGCACCAGATCGGCGAACTTGTTGGTCTCCAGGCGGTACGACACCTTGCCCTGGTCGGCCAGGAGGTTGTTCTGCAGGACGAGGCGCAGGTTGGACTGGAAGATCTGCTGGCGGAGAGACTCAACCTGCTCGCTCTCGTAGCTCTTGCCTGCGAGCAGCGGGGGGGGGGGGGGGGGGGGGGGGTCACGGTCCGAGGTGGAGGTGGAGGGGGGGTGCAAGGGGTTGAGGGTCAGCGCGGGTACCAGGGTGTTTGGGTGCTGGGGTCACTGTGAGCGGGTCCGAGTGTTGTTGGGGTCGGTGTTAGGGTCAGTATTAGGGTCAGTGTTTGGGTCAGTATTAGGGTCAGTATTAGGGTCAGTGTTAGGGTCAGTGTTAGGGTCAGTATTAGGGTTAGTGTTAGGGTCAGTATTAGGGTCAGTGTTAGAGTCAGTATTATGGTCAGTGTTAGGGTCAGTATTACGGTCAGTGTTAGGGTCAGTATTAGGGTCAGTGTTAGGGTGAGTATTAGGGTCAGTGTTAGGGTCAGTGTTAGGGTCAGTGGTTAGGGTCAGTGTTAGGGTCAGTGTTAGGGTCAGTGTTAGGGTCAGTGTTAGGGTCAGTATTAATGTTACGAGCAGTCTTTGTCCTGTTCGCCTTGTGCTGTTCTCTGGTCTAACACTGGTGGTGAGACTTGGCCATAAAGAAAGCTGTCTCTGGTGTAGACCAATCAGTTTCAAAAACAATTCGTATAACATGATCAGAGCGTGTTAATTTGCATGTTTTGCCACAAGTAACGTGTGTGGCTAATGCAGACTTGATGCCTTGCAAACGGTATCATCTATTTGCCGTTTGAACATCTGGACACAACTCCTAGTTGCATAGGCAGACAGGGGTCAAACGAGTGCTGGGTGGTGAGTGGTGAGCGAGGTGGCGAAGTGGTGAGCGAGGTGGTGAGTGGTGAGCGAGGTGGTGAGTGGTGAGCGACGTGGCGAGGTGGTGAGCGAGGTGGTGAGTGGTGAGCGAGTTGGTGAGTGGTGAGCGAGTTGGTGAGTGGTGAGCGAGGTGGTGAGTGGTGAGCGAGTTGGTGAGTGGTGAGCGAGTTGGTGAGTGGTGAGCGAGGTGGTGAGTGGTGAGCGAAGTGGTGAGTGGTGAGCGAGTTGGTGAGTGGTGAGCGAGGTGGTGAGTGGTGAGCGAGGTGGTGAGTGGTGAGCGAGTTGGTGAGTGGTGAGCGAGGTGGTGAGTGGTGAGCGAGGTGGTGAGTGGTGAACGAGTTGGTGAGTGGTGAGCGAGGTGGTGAGTGGTGAGCGAGGTGGTTAGTGGTGAGCGAGGTGGTGAGTGGTGAGCGAGTTGGTGAGTGGTGAGCGAGGTGGTGAGTGGTGAGCGAGGTGGTGAGTGGTGAGCGAGTTGGTGAGTGGTGAGCGAGGTGGTGAGTGGTGAGCGAGGTGGTGAGTGGTGAGCGAGTTGGTGAGTGGTGAGCGAGGTGGTGAGTGGTGAGCGAGGTGGTGAGTGGTGAGCGAGGTGGTGAGTGGTGAGCGAGGTGGTGAGTGGTGAGCGAGGTGGCGAAGTGGTGAGCGAGGTGGTGAGTGGTGAGCGAGGTGGTGAGTGGTGAGCGACGTGGCGAGGTGGTGAGCGAGGTGGTGAGTGGTGAGCGAGGTGGTGAGTGGTGAGCGAAGTGGTGAGTGAGGTGGTGAGTGGTGAGCGAGGTGGTGAGTGGTGAGCGAGGTGGTGAGCGAGGTGGTGAGTGAGGTGGTGAGTGGTGAGCGAGGTGGTGAGTGGTGAGCGAGGTGGTGAGGGTCACCGTGGTGAGTCTTCCACGACTCCCACTCGAGCTGCTCCACGCTGAGCGACTGGGTGAGCGCCAACAGCGCGGCGAGTGCCGTGACACGAAGCAGCATCCTGGAGTTGACTCTACCGCGCCATCACCGCCGGTGGCATCAGCGTCAGCATCATCACTCGACCATCACTCCACCATCACCACTGCACCATCACCACTCCACCATCACTCCACCATCACTACTCCATCATCATCACCACCACCATCATCATCACTCCACCATCACCACTCCACCATCAGAACCCCACCATCACCACTCCACCACCATAAATCATTTATAACTGACCCGTTACAATCATCAATCCATCATAATAAACAACACATCGCCATCAGTAATCAATAATCATTAGCAGCCAGCAGTATCACGAGAAGCATCATCACAGACAGCGATGTCATTATCGCGAGCATCATCACCACCAGTAGCATCAGTCAACAAGTTTTATCTCAGTGGCCCTGAGGTTCCCCGCGTGAGTGAAGCCAAACCCACGCATCCCGAGGGATGAAATCAGTGCCACTCGACAGGGTGGCCCACAAGTCTGGAATCTTAGGGGGGAAATAACAAAGTCGTCTTTCTTGTTTGTTTATGCAGGCCCAAGATGTCTCCGAGTAGTAAGGAAGGACGAGTCCGGATCAGAGTGAGAGGGTGGTCGCTGTTGACTTTAGCAGACTGCATCCAGACCGCGAGCCAACAGCACAGAGCTGTGGTTCTTGCCCAATGATCCCCGACTTATTGGACACCCTCCACAGCAGAACCAACTTGCTGCTGTGATGTCCACGCAGCTCATTTGACCTCCATTTTAAGTTGGGGGGGGGGGGGGGTGCTGCTGCTGCTGTTTTATTATTCGGGTTGGAAGCCGGGATGAGCTGCCGGGTTCCTAAGCGCAGCGCGCTAACCGCTGCACCACCGCTCCACACAAGGCAGCGGCCTTAACAGACTGTTGGGGCAAGCGCTGTTAGCGAGTAGCAGCACCTGTGAAGGCCGCCACTGTGGCACACCGGGGCGGAGGTGGACAGCACCACGCCCGGCCGCCTTTGTCTCCCCTAGCTCGACTCAGTATTTTAAAACGAGTTGAATCTTGCTCTGGTTGAGGTCTCCAGGTTTTGGGGAACCCCCTCTGGTCAAATTGCTCCGATTTTCAGTTTCTGCATGGCGAGTCCCGTCCAGAGTATGTGGCAGCTGCTATGAATGTCCGCGTGGTGATACCGCATTGAGCTATCATTTGTGAGAGCTTCTGAAAGATATCTGCATAGCTCAGTGGGCCTTTACCTAGTCAAATAGAACAAATAGTTTATAGTTTTTGCAATAGTTTTAATAGCAGCACCATTTTTCATTAAGTAGTCATCTTCGCTAACGAGTTCCCGCTCCTCACCATCTCGCTCACCCCACGACCCTTTAATCTCCCCCCTTACAACCACCACCACCACCGTTCCCTCGTCCTCTTCATCACCTCTCTCCATGGCTATCACTCATTCCCCATCTATCCATTAATCATCATCAATTGCTCTCGTCAATTGTGCTTCTATTAACTTCAAAGACAATTAATTTATTCATTATCAGAGCAAATTTGTTTGCACGTTTTAGCACAAGGACGTGTGGCTAATGCGGACTTGATTCCTTGCAATAGTTACATCTTATTTGTTGTTTGGACCTCTTAACACCTCCTGTGTTATTGCCAGACAGGGTGAAACCGCATTCTTATTCATCAAAACTCTGCCTTGACTACGAATTCACGCATCACAGATTCGCCCAACATCCCCTCCCTTGCATCGTCCTCACGGCCCCCCTCCACCGCCCACATTCAAACTCGCCGCCCGCTCATTTGCCGCGACCCATCACGACGAGACGAGACGCTCAGAGCTGCCGCCTGCGTCGGATCATCTCCTCGACGGTTGCGCCGTGAACCCCCTTGGGTACACGGCGGATCGAATGCCCGGTGGACGCCGTTGGAAATCGTAAAGAGGCTCCTCAGCTGACTGAGAAGCAAATCAAGTGAGGACCCATCCTTACCTGCCGTGGAGTAGAGAAGGCTTCTGAAGAACAGGTGAGTTCCTGGTGAGTCCCGCACCCTGTCGTACCTGGGACTGAGTGGGGACTGGCGCCTTATATACACACACAGAGCTGGTGGATCACCTGCAGTCACAAGACTGCAGCTGGGCGCGTGTCAGCACGTGTGTGTTTATAGGTTGTGTTTATAGGTGTGTGTGTGTGACTGTCAGCATATTAGTGTACAGATGTGCGTTTATAGATGCAACGCGTGTGTGAGACCACGTGTGTGTGTGTGTGACCACGTGTGTGTGAGTGCGTTCATGGGTGCATGCGAACGCCGCTTGCCCAAACGCCTGTTTACGGCTATGGAGGTGGGAGAGGTGGTTGCACAAGTGTCAGCACATTTGTGCACAGGCGTGTGTGTGCACAGGTGTGTGTGTGCACAGGTGTGTGTGTGCACAGGCGTGTGTGTGTGGGCACAGGCGTGTGTGTGTGCACAGGCGTGTGTGTGTGGGCACAGGCGTGTGTGTGTGTGCACAGGCAGCCAAACCACCACGTAAAAAACTAAAATATAAACTACATCAATATCATCAATATACTCAATATACTCTCCAATAAGCTGAGCTACTAACAGTAAGTCATACATTACAATTCTATGTCGCAAAAAATATATATGCCTGCAGTTATTTTTTTTTACATCACACAGATATACCCCGTACTGCCATAGACAAACCCAACCTTAAATTATACACTGCATTATTATACACTACCCTATACCTTAGACTATACATTGTAATATTACACTATGTATTATTCTACCCACCCTACTGTATACCAGCTCCTTACTATAAAAAAGTCCTTCCCTTTATTACTGCTAATCCTACTTCCTCCCTATATTACTGCTAATCCTACATAATACACGAGCATAATATGACATTGATACCCCCCCCATCACCTACACATTCCACAAGTAGTGACTAATCCCATATCTGCATTTTCCAATATACGCTGCCAAGCTTGGTGGTGTTCATTCAGACGCTGTCTTTCCGACAGATCTGTTCTTCACCTGAGGACGGCTGCTTGCGTTGTGGCCGAAACGTCGTCAGAATTGTATTTTATTATGTTAAATTTTTATTATTTCCCTTCTACGTAACTTTACCTAAAGAACCAAGAAGATGTGGTGTTGTTGTTATTGTTGCTGTTGTTTACGTTATTTTATAAGGTGCAGCAGACCCAACAAAGGGCTTCAGAGCACCGCACGGACAACAACAATCATCTCTGAGTTTAACACGTTGGCTTTCGCGACCAATATCATCCATAATATAGAGTTTTTTTTGGGTGAGATCGTGTAAATATGTACGTGACCTAACCCACAAAAATCCCGATATTATGGGTTAACATCTCTCAGTGGGTCTCACATGCGGGAGATGTTTGCGTGCCCGCGTCGGTTTGGAAATGCGCTTTTGGTCTCGAACTCGAGCCGCAGCCTCCCCGTCAAGGAACCACTTCCACCTCGGGGTCACGGGGACCAAGATCGCCGGCAGCAGCGCCCCGAGGGGCAAACGCGAGCGGTCCATGACTTGCAGATCTCTCTTTTTTACGTTTTTTTTACTGCAGGTCCCATGAATGGTGCTGAGGTTTTTTTTTTAAATGAAGCTAAGACGACAATTATTCACCGCGGCTAACTGGCGCTCACGAGAGCTGTCAATCGGCCACGTTCCATTTGCCGGTGGCCAGGTTGTGGCTCAGGCCTCGTGGATCAGATCCGCCGATCCGTCACCGCTGAGATCCGAGTTTGAATCCCTGGTTCAATAAAGAGGGCTTCAATAAAGAGGGCTTCAATGAAGAGGGCTTCAATAAAGAGGGATTCTCCAGCATGGTGGGTTGGTGCCAGCCTGGTCACCCATGACTACCAATAACACAAACAAAGATCCCCGTGTAGCCTTCATAGACTGTTGGGGCAAGTGCCGTTAGCGAGCAGCACTTCGCGCAAGTGACGTCATCTCATCTCTCCCGCTATTTAAGGAACGAATCGGGAGGATTTCTACACAATTCTGGCTGTTGCCTGATGAAGCGAGTCGTAATTACTGGCGAAACGTCGTACTCAGATAGTAAATGTTGGTGCTTTGCTCTCCAACAAACCACCGGTGTTGCTGTACCGGTGACGAATTGGCACGTTCTGTTGACGTGACAAACCTGACTCATTGGCTGTGTCGGGTGGTGGCGGGTTTAACAACACATTTTTATATTTACGCAATCTAACCTGTTTTGTGGAGCAGCACCTATGAAGGCCGGCACGGCACACAAGGGGGGGGGGGGTGGCCAACACCACGCTCGACCGCCTTTGTCTCCCCAGTGGCGATATTTAATATACACCGCACCAGGTACTCATTTGAGGTCGAGTCGACCTAGGGGAGGCCCAGGACCGGTTCAAATAATCGTCACCGGTGTTGGCCGTGAGCCGGAATCGCCCTCGGGGCCGGGTTCATAGCGCAGTGGGCTGACCGCTACACAGTCGCCAATGAGTGCACACACACACACCCACAAGCCCGTAATTTAAAATGTTGGTATCTGCACTTAAATTGGTTAAGCTCCACTATATTGAGAATTCTACGACTTCGGTTAGTCATTGCAAAGACATTACTCTGGGTAAATCATCGGCATGACGAGGCGCAGCGATGGATCACTCGACAGGTACATCGATCACGTGTCTCGCCACAAGTTGTGCACAAAAGTCTAGAAAGCTTTTGAGAACCCACAAGGAGAGTTCCTGCTTCAGGATGCTGGGCCATTGATTATTTTTCTCAGCCACGGTCTGTTTGCATCGTACGGATTCTCAAACCTGCTTGCTGTACTCCCACTTGTAGGTTGATAACTAATTTGTAACTGCGTTTGGTGTTCAGTTTGTGTTGTCCTTCCCCCGCACCTCCGACTAGCCCGGTTGGCTACGTACGGTGCGAAAGAAGTTCAACATACGTACACACACACACCTCGCAGCCCAGTAGACCGGTAGCCTCGTCATCACCCCCCACTCCATCCCCTTGCAAAGTTCGAGATCACAACAGACGATGCACAATGAACGATCTGACAGAGGAAGCATCGAGTGAGCAAGTGAGCAAGATGGGCTTTGTGTTGCGTGATCACGCTGAACAATCTGCCACTGCTGCCATTGCTGCCACTACTGTCACGTGGGGCGGTGCCCCTTGCTCCCTCCTACACTGCTGCACCGCAGTTCGGGTTCAGAGTGAAGCGGCAGCAGCAGCAGCAGTCGTGGTGATGATGATGACCCAGCACCGGCAGCAGCCAGTCGCTCCCTTGTCACTCTTCCAGCACTCCTGCCGTGGCGACTGTTGCTGTTAAACTTCGCTCACTCGGTCGACTAGACACTGTTTAGCCCCGTCTATACCGTGGTGTGTTCAACCATCACACTGCAGGCCACAACCACACACTCACTCATCCCCTCCACTCACCACAACACTCGCTCAACCCCTCCACTCACCACAATTCACGCCACAACACACTCACTCACCCGTTCACTCACCACAATTGAGGCCACAACAACACTCGCTCAACCACTTCATTCACCATAATCGAGGCCACACCAACACCCTCACCACAATTCAGGTCACCCCCCCTTCTCTTCCCGCCACATTCCCTCACACCGGGCGGATCCACTTCGGAATTCCATTCCTACCCATCTCCACCATCGCCTCTTTCCAACACAAAGTTCTGACGAGGCCGTCGCTCCAACTCTCAAGAGCCCTGCCACCGCTGGCCGCAGGTGTCTGTGCTCGGCGCTCGCGCTGCGAAAACAAATCCAAGGCTCCCGTCAGTTTGGTAAAATAAAGAGAATCAAGTTTATTTTTGTATTCCGCTGTAAAAAATAACCCCCCCCCCCCCAGGGACAGGTGCACGATTCGGCACCGCTCGGCACGCGCAGGGTTTGTTCACGACACCGGAGGGCGCTGGGCGGATTCTCGCTCCCCCGGGGGCACCGGACATTCGGCGTAGACGTGAACCCAGTCCCCGTGCGGCCCGCAATCAAGACGGGGAAATGCGAACGTGGCGGGCGGGTACTTTAAACAACAACAAAATAATAACAGTAGTAGTAGCTCACCCACACGCGTGGGTGTGTCACGTGGCGAGTTTTTCCAACACCGACCAACCCCCTTACCAGATGCTCCCCAGTTGTATTTTGCCACAAGCCACGCGAGTCCCCACCGCATCGCAGACGCGACCCGGCACCGCCGCGACCCGGCACCGCCGCGACCCGGCACCGCCGCGACCCGGCACCGCCGCGAACCCCCGCGACCCGTGACCCGGCACCGCGGCGGCTCTCCAGAAGGAAACTCAAACCAAGGACGCGGCGCTGATCGCACCAGAGGCTCCGCAACCTGCGAGGGCTTCATCCGCAGCGCTCGCTGGCGGCCTGCGGCGCTCGGCGCATCCTCGCTAGAGGCCGACTCGGCCTCGCACGAGATGCCGGGGCGTGCACACCGCCACTTGGGGGGCAACGGCGGGCGGGCGTGGTGCTGGCCACCCACCTCCTCGTGTGTGCCCTACCGGCCTTCATCGGTGCTCGCTAACAGCACTTGGCCCACGTCTGCTAAGGCTATATGGGGGATCTTTGTCTTCGTGCGCTCGCTTCACGTGGCGACTTTTCCGCTGGCGTCCCCGTCGGCGAGTGCTGCTGTTCGGACACGTGCATCGCCGCCCGTGCGGCATCGCCAAACGACGTCGTCTCTACCTAACAGCGGCTCGCAACAAACGTCCGCAACGAATACTCTGCACCCGTCCTGTCAATCCCCTTGTTCGCAAGCTGCCGCACACTCGCAGTCTTTACGTTGGGGAAAGCCTCGCACGAGTCTTTGCTTCTCAGGCGGTGTCCTGCTGCTGCTGCTGCTGCTGCTGCATTGGGGGCGTTTGTCCACGAATGCCATCGCGTGAGAGTTCCGCCCCCCCCTACCCCGCAGACAACCCATCAACGCACGCGTCGGGCGGTGGGGGTAGCACTCGGACCTCCGCACAGATGGATTCAATAATCCCCAGCTGTGCTAGCCTCCGGCCACCTTGCGCGCGTACGCACACCCACAATGTTGTTGAACGCGCTTGTTTGAGGAGGGGGAGTTGGAGTGGGCCGAGCCGAGTGTGCGAGGGGAAGCAGCGGCCTTCCCTGGCACCGATCCCCGGCGAAGACCGACTCGCCGCACCGTCTGACAAAGACAACGAGCGTCGCGCACCACAGCCCTGCGCGCGTACACGTAGGCGCACATAGACACGATCACACACACTCTCTCTCTCGAGAGAGAGAGCCTCGTACAGCATGGGTTCTGGTGCTGTTTGCGAGCACCTATTAAGGCTGGCAAGAAGAAGGCGGGGGGGGGGGGGTGATACTGTAGCTCTGGCCCGGCCACCTTTGCTTCTCTCCAGTGCACAGTACACCAGCTGGTAATTTAAGGCCGAGTTAACCTAGGGGGAGGCCCACGGGAAGGTAGGTACCACTTGGTGCCGATGTCGAGCATCACGTCTGGGAGTCGAACCCAGGTGTGCTGGGTCCGTACCGCGGTGCCTGCCACTGCAACTCTGCGGAGGAGGGCGTCAACCATGGAGGACACTGCAACCTGCAGGGTTGCTCAGCGACAACCGCTAACCCGGTAACCGCTACCAGCGCGATCCGATTAGCGCGTTTGGCCTACGTACGGTGGGAAAGAAGTTGAATGTACGTACATACGTAGACTCACAAAGTCACTCACATAGTCACTCACCCACTCACAAAGTCACTCACAAAGTCACTCACCCACTCACACACTCACCCATCCTCCGTTTAGCACTGCTGGCTATGTACGGTGCGAAAGAAGTTTAACGTACGTACATACGTAGACTCACAAAGTCACTCACCCACTCACATAGTCACTCACCCACCCACACACTCACCCATCTTCCGTTTAGCACGGCTGGCTATGTACGGTGTGAAAGAAGTTCCACTGTACGCACGTACGTATAGCGGAACCTGGCCCGATTGGCGCACACGCGCGGACCGCACAGGGAGCTCTGCCTAGGAGGGTGGCCGGCCGACTTCCTCCACGAACCTTGGGAAAAGTGGGGGCGGCACACCCACACGTTTATCCCACAGGACACACGGCCCAGGGATCTACCGCGATGAACCCGTTCACGCTGCAGAGCCGACAGAAGCGGTGACGGGAGGGAGGGGGTGGGGGTGGATTCCAGTGCGTTGACCATTACACAGTTAAGAGGTCACAAACGTGATTTTTACAGCTGTGGACATTGGCTGGCGTCGCGACCAAGCGGTAACCGATTGTTCGCGAGTTCGTTTCACGCGGTTAGTCAACAGCAACGCAAAGCGCAATTTTTAACCACCCCGACTCGAACCCACAGCGGCCTCGGCTTCGGCTCGGCACCGTCCTGCCCCCCCCTCCTCCTGACGGGCGAAGTTTAGGACCGTGGCTCACAGGGCCGCAGCGGCTGCATTGGGTTACGCGGTCCGGGCCTCCCCGGAGAGCCTGGGCTGGCGCAGGAAGCGTTCCTGGCTAGCCGAGTTGAAAGGGACATGCCCGCCGCTCCCACCGTCTCCAACATCCCACGTCGGGGCCTCACCCGCAGCCTGCACTCGGGAGGTTCGAAGGGCCGCGTGGCGCCGCCAGGACAAGTGGCGGTCGCGGGTTGCCGAGTTGGTGGTAAGAGCCTCGGCAGCCCGTGAATGCCACCAGAAGCCACACGCAGACCAAGACGAAGATCCACGCCCCCACGGCCACGCGGGGGGGGGGGGGGGGTGGGTGTGGCCAGCGCCACATCCAACCACCTTTGTCTTCCCATTTCTCATGTTTACACACCACACCCAGGACTCAGTTAAGGCTGAGTCTACCTCGGGACGAGGACCAGGAGCGGTTCAAATAACCAGCAGTGATTTTAACCAACGGCTGAGAATTTAACTTGGGTTGCCGGGTTCGTAGCCCGGAGCACTCACCGCTGCATGACAGATCTCTAAATTATTCACAAAGATCCCCCGTATAGCCTTAACAGACTGTTGGGGCAAGTGCTGTTAGCGAGCAATTATGAAGGCCGGAACAATACACGTGGGGGTGGGTGGCCAGCACTACGCCCGGCCGGCCGCCTTTGTCTCCCTAGTGGCGATGTTTACGACACATCGCACCAGGTACTCATTTGAGGCTGAGTCGACCTAGGGAAGGCCCAGGACAGGTTCAGAAATCGTCGCTGGTGTTGGCCGTGAGCGGGAATCGAACTCGGGCCGTCGGGTTCACTGCGCAGCTTAGCGCTAACCGCTACACGACTGCTATTATGCACACACACACACACACTCTCTCTCTCAAACATGTAATTACGTACACATATTTTTTAACTCATCATCACCACCGCCACCACAGTTCTTTCACTACTCATGGGAGAGAAAGATCCACCATTCTCCAACGTGTTTTCGGGGGTTGTGCTCTTCGGCACGATGTCCGACGTTTCTCTCCACGTGCTGGGGGGCTCCTTCAGGAACTCAACTCGGCTTCCGGCGCGAAACGTCGGACACATCGCGCCGCGGAACGACGCGCGGGCACAACCCGAAAAAGACATACGCGCACACACGCACGCGCGCGGCATGCCTCCCCCACTTAGCACGGTCGGCTACGTACGGTGCGACAGAAAGGAACGTATGCACGGCAACACGACCGCGAGTACCCACGGCCGTACGAGTAGATCCAGAAGCAAGACCATTTCTTTTTTCTTCCGTTCCTTGCTCGCCTAAAACCGTCGCCGTTTGATCTCCGCCTCGTACTCGTCGCCGGCCGGCACGTACTCGCCGGGCGGCGCCGCGCCCATCGCGGGGCCCCGACCCCGGTCCGGCCTCGCGTAGCGGCTCGCGTCCGACTCGGAGGCGTGGCCCCGGCCGTCCGTGCCGGCTGCGGGGCCCGCGTCCCGGTACGGATCGTACTGGGAGAGGCTCATGAGTCCGGCGACGCCGAGGGCCACGGCGCTGGTCTGCGCAAAGCCGGCCTGCGGGAGACCGCACAGGCGCAGGGGTGGGGGGGGGTGCGACTTGAGCGACCGCACGGCGGTTTTGCATCGGCGGCTCACCGCTCCAGGTCGCGGCATGGGCAGCGAGAACGCCGCTTGCCATCTTCCACTCCGACGACGACAACGACAACAACACCGAAAACAACGACAACACCGACAACAACTCCAACAACGACAACAACAACAACGACGACACTGACAACAACTCCAACAACAAAAGCAACACCGACAACAAAAGCAACACTGACAACAACAACCACAACAACAGACGGCGACGTCGCCCCGCACCTCTGATGAGCACGATTGGTCTACGTACGAAGTTCGACGTAAGTGCCAAACCACCGCCCGTGCCAGGCCAGGTGCACTTCGAGGCCACTCGCGAAGTATCGGGTGGCTCGGGCAGCAGGAGGTCACGGGACGCCAATCGCAACTAAGTGGCTGTGACGTCAACACGGCGCTTGTGCCAGGCCATGTGCACATTAAGGCCACGTGACGTGTCAAACGTCCTCTGGCAGGAGGTCATGGGACAGACCCAGGTGCCATGGGTTGACTGAGATGGCTGGCGGATACACCAGCTGTGCCCCCTACTGCGCCAACTGTGTTTTAGCCACTCGGCGCTCTGCTGGTTGTTGTGAGCATTGCTCCTCCGCCCTCCATTGTTGCTGAAGGGTGATTGCCTGCAACTGGCCAGTAGCGTCCTTCACGAGCCTCCTCCATAAAGGCCGATCTTGACACCGCTGGTACCAGTCATTGGCAAGTCCACTCAGTACAACATCACTCCATCTCTTCTCTAGCCATGCCGCGCCCATTTAGCCTTCTCTATCCGGCCGAACAAAAGCTGTTTAGGCATGCGGTGGCTGCGCATCCGGATTACATGACCCAGCCAACACAGCCTTGCCTGCCGGAGGAGCTCACCGATGGGAATGTGTCCGGATCTTTCAAGGATTTGTGAGCTCCTCACACAATCCAGCCTGGTTAAACTCAAGATGGATCGTAGGCAGGCCAGCCTAAATGTTTATAACTGGCGAAGATGCTCCATTAGGAAGGTCAATGTTTCGCAAGGATAGAGAAGGGGGGGCATGAGCGTGGCCAAGAAGACTCAAAACTTCGTGTGGAGCAACAGACCAGGTAGCTTCCACACAGCATTACGCAGCCGATGAAAAGATAATGCCGTTCTAATGATTCGGAGACCTCTGCTGTCAAACCCGAGCTGGTCATGAGTACACAACCCAGATATGTAAAACTCGACACTCTCTCCACATCTGCCCCATCGCCAATGGGGAGTTCAGGGGGTAGAGGGTTTGATGGCACAAAATACCCAGGAAGGTGCTCTTAGTGGCATGAGCACCTCCAACTCCTCCTCTGAGTGAGCGGCAATTACCAGATCATCAGCATACATAACGTGGTTGACCATTATGGAGCCATCCCTTGACTACACCTGGGCATTGATCAGCCTCCCTCTGTATCTGTACCAGATATAAATTCCTCCAGTAGAACCATAGATGGCTTCACAAACTCCAAGGTGAACAGAAAATGGCTCCGACTCCCGGCCACGTAGTTTTACCCGGGCCTGCCCATTTTCATGAAGGTCTTTAACGATAGTGAGCAGAGTCAGGGACTCTGAAAGCACGAATAACCCAGAGCCTAAGTCTACTGATGGTATCATAGGCCTTGACCAGGTCAATAAAGCAGAGATGTAGATCATGTTTGAATCCCCTACACCTATGCTGTAGCAAAAAGACAGAAAATATGGCATCTGTGCAGAACCACCCTGACCTGAAACCACACTGGGGCTCTGCAAGCCTCTCCTCAGCGTGCCTGGCAAGGCAATATTGAAGAATCCTTGCCAGGACCTTTCCCGACACACTGAGGAGTGAGATGCCCCTGTAGTTGTTACAGTCTGTGTGGTCCCCCTTCTGAAAGAGGGGGACCACCAGGGCATCCTTCCAATCCTGCGGAACCCGGCCAGTGGTCCAGACTGTTGTTATTATGTCATATAGAGTAGTCTGCGCACAAACGCCACCCTCCCTCAGCATTTCGCTAGAGAGATCATCTCTGCCCGGCCCTTTTTCTGGTTTCAGACTCTGGATCGCCTTCAGAACTTCCTCAGCAGATGGCGCTTCAGCCAGCCACTCACAGGGGGTGACTCATTTTCTCCCAATATATGCTCGTGCACACACTCAACGTTCGCACACCTCACCCCCTCGCCTCGCCTCGCACAAACCCCACACGCGCTCGCCTCCCCGCGTCTCTCTCAAACTCACCAGCGCCATCGATTCCGGGATGCCGGCCCAGAGCCTGTCGTCTCCAACACCGACGGCACCCCCGTGGCCCCCGTGGCCCCCGTGGCCCCCGTGACCCCCGTGACCTCCGTGGCCCCCGTGGAGTCTCCTCTGCTCCGGAGCCATCAGCAGCAGCTGCCCCAGGTCCGAGCGCTGTTGGTGCGCAGAGGACGAGGGCAGCTCCATGTCGCTCCTGTGCGGCTCCGTGTGTTGCGCATGCTGCTGCTGCGCGTGCTGCTGATGCGCCCCGTGCTGCTCGTGTTCCATGTGCTGCTCTCCGTGCGGCTCTCCGTGCTGCACTCCGTGCTGCTCTCCGTGCTGCTCCCCGTGCTGCTCTGCATGGGCCGCGCGAGTGCCGTGCACGCTGCGGGAGATGCGCTCCGCCTGCGAGCCGTGCACGGCGCGATCTGCGTGCTGCGAGTACTGCGAGTACTGCGGGTGCTGCGGGTGTTGCGGGTGCTGCTGCTGCAGGTGTTGCGGGTGCTGCTGCTGCTGGTGCTGCTGCTGGTGCTGCTGGTGCTGCTGCTGGTGCTGCTGCTGGTGCTGCTGTGGGTGCTGCTGTGGGTGCTGCTGCAGGTGCTGCTGTTGTGGGTGCTGCGCTTGCTGCTGTGAAGGAAGCTCTGAGTATTCCCTATGCTGCGTTGTGTGCTGCGTGTGCTGCTGTGCTGTGTGCTGCGCAATCTGCGCTTGCTGTGTGTACTGCTGCGAATTCTGCGCCTGCTGCTGCGCTTGCTGCTGTGCTGCATGCTGCGTGTGCTGCTGCGCTGCTTGCTGCGTCTGTGTGGCGATGGGCGTGGTGCGTGCCGAGTGAGCTGACTCCGATTTGTACGACAGAGGAGAGGAGTAAGGGTCTGTGCGTGCACGGGGAAGAGGGAAAAAAGAAAATCGGCATCAGCTGGAGCAGAAAAAGCCGCAAGAGCGGAAGCAGGACTGTCATGAACAGCGACTGATGATGATGATGTATGCCATCATCATCATCGGTCGCAACATTAAAAGCTGCAGTGTTGTCGTCGTCGTCATCATCATCATCGCCGCCACAATCAGCAGTCGTGGAGACATTATCAAAAGCGACATCATCACCCAAAACGGCAGCAGTTTCATCGTCTTCCTACTCAGCGGTGGTCAAGGCATCGTCATCGTCAGGAGGAGCATTCACAGGCATCATCGGTGAGCGTCGCCGCTCTTACTCGCTCCCTCCGTTTCCAGTTCCGTTCCAGGGCGTTCATCCGCGACGGGATGCTGCGCCTGGAAATCAAAACACAAAGATGCCTATGAGTCGGGTGTACAGAGCGCCAGGGCATGCGCTCTTAGCCAGCACCTGGGCTAGACGCCGGGCTAGACCACGTGGTTAGTCACCTGACTAGACCACGTGGCTAGTCACCTGACTAGACCACGTGGCTAGTCACCTGACTAGACCACGTGGCTAGTCACCTGACTAGACCACGTGGCTAGTCACCTGACTAGACCACGTGGCTAGTCACCTGACTAGACCACGTGGCTAGTCACCTGACTAGACCACGTGGCTAGTCACCTGACTAGACCCGTGCTAGTCACCTAGACCACGTGGCTAGTCACCTGACTAGACCACGTGGCTAGTCACCTGACTAGACACCTGACTAGTCACCTGACTAGACCACGTGGTAGACACCTGACTAGACCACGTGGCTAGTCACCTGACTAGACCACGTGGCTAGTCACATGACTAGTCACCTGACTAGACCACGTGGTAGTCACCTGACTAGACCACGTGGCTAGTCACCTGACTAGACCACGTGGTAGTCACCTGACTAGACCACGTGGCTAGTCACCTGACTAGACCACGTGACTAGTCACCTGACTAGACCACGTGGCTAGTCACCTGACTAGACACCTGACTAGTCACCTGACTAGACCACGTGGCTAGTCACCTGACTAGTCAGGTGACTAGACCACGTGGTTAGACACCTGACTAGACCACGTGGCTAGTCACCTGACTAGACCACGTGGCTAGTCACCTGACTAGTCACCTGACTAGACCACGTGGTAGTCACCTGACTAGACCACGTGGCTAGTCACCTGACTAGACCACGTGGCTAGTCACCTGACTAGACCACGTGGCTAGTCACCTGACTAGACCACGTGGCTAGTCACCTGACTAGACCACGTGGCTAGTCACCTGACTAGTCACCTGGCTAGACCACGTGGTAGACACCTGACTAGACCACGTGGCTAGTCACCTGACTAGACACCTGACTAGTCACCTGACTAGACCACGTGGTAGACACCTGACTAGACCACGTGGCTAGTCACCTGACTAGTCAGGTGACTAGACCACGTGGTTAGACACCTGACTAGACACCTGACTAGTCACCTGACTAGACCACGTGGTAGACACCTGACTAGACCACGTGGCTAGTCACCTGACTAGTCACCTGACTAGTCAGGTGACTAGACCAAGTGGTAGTCACCTGACTAGACCACGTGGTAGTCACCTGACTAGACCACGTGGTAGACACCTGACTAGACCACGTGGCTAGTCACCTGACTAGACACCTGACTAGACCACGAGGCTCTAATTAGCACGGGTGTCTACGCACGGTGCAAAGAAGTTCAATACGCACACATTCCCCAGGCTGTACGCTTGGCTAGATACTGGATTAGACGCCTGGCGAGACCCCGAGCTTGACGCATGGCTGGATGCTTGGCTAAGCGCCAGGCTGCAGGCCTGGCTAGATACAGGGTGGGACGCCGGGCTAGACGCTGGGCTAGACGCTGGGCTAGAGGCTGGGCTAGACGCTGGGCTAGAGGCTGGGCTAGACGCTGGGCTAGACGCTGGGCTAGATGTTGGGCTAGAGGCTGGGCTAGACGCTGGGCTGGCGGTGGTGAGCGTACGTCAGAGGAGTAGGCTGCTCGCTGGGCGTCCATGTGACGCCTCCTCTCCTCGTCGAGACGCCGCATCTCCTCGCGGCGCCGCACGCGGTCTACGCACACACACAGAGCGACACACACACAGAGCGACACACACACAGAGCGACACACACACAGAGCGACACACACACAGAGCGACGCGTATGCCAGTCAACAGGCGAACGAGTGAGTGTGCGAGCGCACACACGTGCTTGTATGGGCGTGAGTTCACAGCGATTGCATGTGTGTGTGCGAGTGCGTGCGCATAAGTGCTCACCACGGTGATTTGAAAAGCTAAAGGCCAAATGGGGGATCTGTTTGGGTCTGTGGGTCAGTGCGGCGTTCATGGCCACCACCAGTGACGATTATCAGAACTGTTCCTGGGCCTCCTTCCTTAGGTCGACTCAGCCTCAAATGAATACCTGGTGTGGTGTGTAAACATCGCCACTGGGGAGACAACGGCGGTCGGGCGTGGTGCTGGCCACCCACCCACTCGTATACCGTGCCGGCCTTTAGAGGTGCTGCTACTCGCTAACAGCACTTGCTCTAACAGTCCATTAAAGGCTATACTGGGGATCTTTGATTTTTTTTGTGTGTAATTGCGATCATCCAGCATACGTGTCACCACTCACCCATCCTTCCACCAACACCCACCAACACCCATCCACCCACCAACACCCATCCATCAACACCCACACACCACTCACCCATCCACTCACCAACACCCACCCACCAACACCCATCCACCAACACCCACACCTACCAACCCACCTACCCACCAACCCACACACCACTCACCCATCCACCCACCAACACCCATCCACCCACCAACACCCACCCACTCACCAACACCCACCAACACCCATCCACCCACCAACACCCACCCACCCACTCACCAACACCCATCCTCCCACCAACACCCACCAACACCCATCCAACAACACCCACACCTACCAACCCACCTACCCACCAACCCACCTACCCACCAACACCCACCCACCAACCCACACACACCACTCACCCATCCACCCACCAACACCCATCCACTCACCAATACTCACCCACAAACACCGACCCACAAACACCCACCCACAAACACCCACACGCCAATACCCATCCACCCACCAACACCCACTCACCAACCCACCAACACCCATCCACCCACCAACACCCACTCACCAACCCACCAACACCCATCCACACACCAACACCCACTCACCAACCCACACACCGACCAACCCACCCACCGTGATAGGCCGCCTCCATCTCGGCCTCCAGTCTCTCCCGGGCACGCTGCACACCGCGCTCCACCTGCTGCACATGCAGCCGCTCCATCTCGTCGAGGGCGCGGCACCGCGCCGCAAACTCAAACTCGAGGGTGCCCGGCGTCGCGAAGCGCGGCGCCTTCGAGCGCTCCCTGCGGAGAGCGGCGATGGAGAGCGGGACACGGAGAGCGGGAGGAGCGGGAGGTGAGTTCACTCGGCGATTGTGTTTTATCCTCTCACCCTCTACGTTCTCCATCTTTGCTCTCTCTCTGTTCCTCCTTCTCCTCCTTGCGCTCAATCCACGCTTTTGCTCTTTCTCTCTTCTCGCGCCCCCCCCCCCCAACTTCACTGGAACAAACTTCCCCCTCCGCATGAAGCGGTCACCTTCACTCACTAAGTTTCCGCTCCTCACTCATAACTCACACTTATTGTAACCTCTAGCTCACCCCCACGACACCGCCTTAATGCCCCCCTCATAACAACCACCACCACCGTCACTGTTCCCACTTCATATTCTCTTTGCACGGCAATCACTCTTCAACAAGAAAGTACAGGGTGAGAAATGAAGACATGAGAGGAAGACTCGAGGTGGTTAGAAATCACAGAGAAGATGAGAGAGAGAGAGAGAGAGGCTCTGGTGAGGTTCAGTCATGTGGAGAGACGACAGGGAAATGACGTGGGTCAGAAGGTGGCGAGTGATGCAGGTGAAAGGAAAAAATATGAGGAGGAGGGCAGAAGAAGAAGAAGACGTGGGGGGGGGGGGGATGTGGTGCGAGCAGACACGGTGGGCCGAGGAGCGGAAAGAGAGACGGCGCAGGACAGGGCAGCGTGGAGATGGTTGCCAAGGACTGGGGGACACCCGCACATGAGTGGGGCAAACGCGTGGAGACTCAATCGATTTGTCATCATCACTTGCCATCATCAATTTCGCTGTCACCTAATTCATGCACCATCGTAGATTCGCCCACCCCCATTGCTTCCCCACATCTATTTCATTCACCTAATCTCGATCCATTACAGTCACACGCACACACGCGTCGTTGTTGTTGTTATATCATTCTCAATTCTCTGTAAAGCGCCTCGGTTAAAGCGTTATATAAATGACGTTAAGACGAGATGAGATCATGTTGAGCCAGGTGAGAACTCGGGACAAAGAGTCGCTTGCGAGAGCGACCTGGGTTGTCAGCAAAAATGAGAAAAGAAATCGAAATAAAATACAGCGATGAGGCAAGTATAAATTAAGAGCAAAAAAAACCAGCATTATGGGGTGAAAGTCGAAAATATTGCACGAAAAATAAATCGACGTCAAATAATAAATTAACCCGGAGGGCGAGTGGGCTCGAGCAGATTACGTTCAGACTGATCATCGCACGAATACAAACTAAGTAAGGGAAACATTAAACAGGTATAGGGCAACTATTGTACTTGTATGTACAGAGACACGGATAAACTAGTCAAATGGGCAATGTTCGTCTGTGGGCAATGGCAGTCTGTGGGCAGACACAGGTATCCGAGTCAGATGCAATTGCGAATTAAGTTTTCATGACGGATCAAAATCTCAGCGCCAAGTTGGGATTGTGTTATGCATGCACAGTGTGGGGTTCTTTCCCCGCACCGTAACGTAGCCAACGGTGCTAATCGGAGGTGCGGGGGAAAGACAACAAACTAAAACGCAAAAAGCAGTCCTAAAGAAATGAGTTATCAATCTCGATGATTTTAAAAGTGCATAGCTCCAGTGGCTTCCTAAGATCGGAACGGAAGAGCGTTCCAGACGGCCGCAGAAGCGCATCTGAAAGCGCTGCGCGATGATTGGGGGGGTCGCGGGGGGGGGGGGGGGCGGCCCAGCGCGTGCTCTCACTTGTAGTAGTGCAGGGTTCTGGGCAGGCTCGACTCCGGGACCCCCTCCTCCTCGTCCAGCTGCTTGAAGGGCTCCACCATCACAGGACGGAGGCATCTGCACGCAGCCATAAAGAAACAGCCCTGAGCCAGGGCCTTCGTACATAACCCCTTTTTCCCACTGGCACACTCGAGCTGAGCCGGCACGGGACCCCCGTGCCGCGGTACGGGGTGGTTTTTTCCCGCTTTGGTGTTTGACGTGGCTATCTGGAAAAAGACGTCTGAAATCTGGCTTGGGGCCAAGCAGGGCCAAGCGGGGCCAGCGGTAGGATGAACGACTCTATCAAGCGAGTACACGGAGGACACGGAGAACACCGCGACATCTGCGTGCGCCTTGACTCGTTCATCACGTGTGACAGGTTGGCGGCACGGCTTCGGCACGGCTTCGGCACGGCTTGGCACGGCTTCGGCACGGCTGGGCACGGCTTCGGCAGTGGACAAACAACACCGGCGCCTCCCGAGTCACGTCGGGCTGGCTCGGCACGGCCCTGGTGCAGCTCGGTTGTATGGTGGCAAAAGAAGCAATAAGCAAAGTGCCAATACAGCACTCGCACGTACACAGTATAGCAGCAACAACAACTGCCATTCGCCTCGATACGCCGGTGAAAACACAATGGTGCTTGTGCCACACTCGGTACACTTCAGCGATGAAGGACCATTGGCAGGTCAAGCAGGTTGTAATGGGTTAACTGACGAGGCTGACTGTCAAATGCTCTTCCCATCTGTGCCCTTGCTATGCTTTAAATCGCCTGGAGTTATGCTCAATATTGTGAGCATTGCTCTACCGCCCTCTGTTGTTGCTGGAGGGTAACTGCCACCTTCACGAGCCTCATCCCAGAGGCCGATATTGTCAATAACGGTGCCTGTTGTCAGCAGGTCAACTCAACTCCAATTCCTCTTGTGCCACTACAACAAACTCTACCCGGCCAAACAGAAGCAACTTGATTTCACGATAACACACCCAAGATGCTTGACTGTCATGCAATGTCAGGTTAGGAAAGTATGCATGTTGAACTTTTTTCACATCCACGAGAATTTTTTTTGGGTTATATTGCGTAAATATAAATGTGTCTTTAAAAACCCGCCACCACCTGACACAGCCAATCAGTAAGGTTGATCACACAAACGAAACACGCCAATCAGTTGTGAGTTCAACACACCGGTTGTGTTTGGGGGTAAACCCGCAACATTTACGGAGCCAACCGTGCTCATCTGAGTGGGCAGCGCCCACTACCGTGAAGGATCTCTCCCTCCGCAGCTGCTCTCTGAGAAAGCGAGCGCCGCTCTGCAAGATTTCCCAATGGATCCTTTGTCTGGCGACGCGATGTGCGGGAGGGGGGGGGGGGGCGGAGTATCATGTCAGCAGAGAGAGAAAAAAAAGTCTAACGAGCCAAATAAAGCGGGTCGCCCCGTGCAGCACGACCGTCCCCCTCCGCCACAAAACCCTCACGCTGTGAGCAGGAAGACGCCGTCGCGACACGCCTCCGTCGCCCGGCTCGCCTCCTCGGTGCTCGCAAACTCCAGCCGCCCGCGCCCCGACGCCCGGCTCCCTCCGCTGGCGCTGCCCGAGGCTTCCACCGCCACGATGGACCTCTCCACCTCCCCGAAGCGGCCGAACGCCTCGGCCAGCAGCTCGTTGGAGACGCAGGGCGAGAGGTTCCCGACGGAGAGCGCCGCCGAGTGGCGGGCGCGGCGCACGCGGACCCTCGGGCCCTGCGGCTCGGCCGCCTGCAGTGGCGACGCGCGCGATCCATTAGCCGCCGACCCAATTGCTTGGTTAAACCAGTCAGTCAGTCACTCACCCACCAACTTAGTCTACGTTCTGTCCGCCCAACGTCTAATGCCGTCAGTGTGTGAGCACGATTGTGTGTTTGTACGTGGTGTAGCGGTCAGCGCTCTGCGAGCCGAGTTTGATTCCCGCTCATGGCTGACATCTGTGACGAATATCTAAACCGGTCCTGGGCCCCCCCTAGGTCGACTCAGCCTCAAATGAGTACCTGGTGCGATGTGTAAACATCACCACTGGGGAGTCCAAGGCGACCTAGCATGGTGCTGGCTACCCACCTCCTCGTGCACCGTGCCGGCCTTGATAGATGCTCGCTAACAGTACTTGCAACAAAAGTTTGCTGAGGCTATATGGGGGATCTTTGTCGTCGTGTGCACGTATGTGTATTTATACGTGCGAGCAGTGGCAGGCACTATGAACCCGGTGACCCGAGTTTAATTCCTGGCCCGCAGTGAATATCAGCAGTGAGTGAAACGTGAACCAGTCCTCAGCCTCCCTGCAGGCCACTGAGCCCTAATTGAGTACCTGGTGTGGTGTGTAACCATCAGCACTGGAGAGACAAAGGCGGCGGTGCTGGCCACACCACTCCTTTGTGACCTGTGTCGACCTTCGTAGGCGTTCGCTAACAGAACTTGCCCTGAGAGTGCAGTTAAGGCTATACGGGGGGGAAGGGGGGGATCTTTGTGGATATTTGTACAGGACAGAGTAACTCACACATGAGCTCAATGCTAACATATACGCACCTCCTTTACCTCCTCCTCTCCTCCGTTGGCCTCCTCCTTGCCTTCGTTAAGTGGCGCCGCATCTTGAGTCTCCGAAATCGAATCCGCTCCCTCCACCGTGGCGTCTTCCTCCTCCTCCTCCTCATTCGTGCTCTCCGCTACGCCCGTCTCACCCTCTTCCCCTGGCGCATCACCTGCTTCTCCATCAGCCGGGCCGTCGCTTCCCGCAGCTTCTGCCGCGTCCGCCTCCGGCGTTTCTGGTGCCGCTTCTGCTTGCGCTGCATCGGCCGCTTCCAGTTCGACTGCCGCGGCTGCTGCCGCCCCACCCGCCGCGGTAGCGTCGTCGCCGTCGTCGCCGTCGACGCCGTCGGCGAGTTCAGCGGGGCTGCATTCTCCGTTGCTGGCGGCGTCCGCGCTGGCAGTGGTGGGGTCAGCCGATGGGTCTGGCGGTGGCGGCGGGGTCGATGGGTTGGGCAGGGCGGGCAGACCCCAGCAAGTTCCGTCCAACTCGGTGCGAGCGATTTCAGCCAGAGCGCTGGTCTCCTGTGCTCGTGCAATTAAACACATAAAACAACAAAGATCCTCCGTATAGCCTTACCAGACTGTTGGGGCGAGTGCTGAGAAACATGGAACTTTTCACACGAGATATGTTATGCAATTGGTCTGATAGACGGTAACAAACAGACTTCGCTTGTGGATAATGAGTGTTTTAACATAAGCATGGGATTAGAGACCAGTAATCTTGTTGTAGCTATGGCTATTGTCAGGGACATCGTTTTCAGAGTCGTGTCTTTGTTTTTTTTGACAATGCTTCGTATAGCCACCAGGGCTGGTACTAGAACCACTGTTCAGAATATAAGATTGCAATCAGGGATAGTATTAGTGCAGTATTATATCGATGCAATGCCAGCCCCAGATTAGGATATTTGTCACTCAAATATCCGAATATGCAACCATCCACGAATTCACTCACTCAACTAAGAGCGCACTCGGCACGCTCTCGCTCATCCACCGACTCACTCATTCACTCACTAGTTCACTCACACACCCTCTAGTTATCATACTGTACCTATAACATGGGGTTTTTGGGGTTAAATCGCGTGAATATGAATGTATCGTTAAACCCGCCACCACCAGACACAGCCAATTACAGTAGTAAGGTTTGTCACGTAAACAGAACGTGGAAATTCGTTATTAGTACAGCACACCGGTGTGTTGGAGAAAAAAAATCCACATTTACAATCTTTACTCAGATTTTACACTGTACTCAGTTTGTAAATGTTGTGGATTTGCTCTCCAACACACCGGTGTGCTGAACTGGTAACGAATTGGCACGTTGTGTTCACGTGACACATTTATGTATTTACGCGATCTAACCCAAAAACCTGTATTATGGATGAGATTGGTTGCGAAAGCCTTCGTGTAAAACTTACTATAGCTACTCATCCATCCACCCCCACTCGCCCACCTACCTACTCGTTCACACACCTACTCGTTCACACACCCTGCCACTCACCTAACCTCACCCACCCACCTACTCGTTCACACACCCTGTCACCCACCCCACTCACCCACCCACCTACTCGTTCACACACCCTGCCACTCACCCACCCACCTACTCGTTCACACACCCTGCCACCCACCCCACTCACCCACCCACCTACTCGTTCACACACCCTGCCACTCACCCACCCACCTACTCGTTCACACACCCTGCCACCCACCCCACTCACCTACCCACCTACTCGTTCACACACCCTGCCACTCACCCACCCACCTACTCGTTCACACACCCTGCCACCCACCCCACTCACCCACCCACCTACTCGTTCACACACCCTGCCACTCACCCACCCACCTACTCGTTCACACACCCTGCCACCCACCCCACTCACCCACCCACCTACTCGTTCACACACCCTGCCAGTCACCCACCCACCTACTCGTTCACACACCCTGCCACCCACCCCACTCACCCACCCACCTACTCGTTCACACACCCTGCCACTCACCCACCCACCTACTCGTTCACACACCCTGCCACCCACCCCACTCACCCACCCACCTACTCGTTCACACACCCTGCCACTCACCCACCCACCTACTCGTTCACACACCCTGCCACCCACCCCACTCACCCACCCACCTACTCGTTCACACACCCTGCCACTCACCCACCCACCTACTCGTTCACACACCCTGCCACCCACCCCACTCACCCACCCACCTACTCGTTCACACACCCTACCACTCACCCACCCACCTACTCGTTCACACACCCTGCCACCCACCCCACTCACCCACCCACCTACTCGTTCACACACCCTGCCACTCACCCACCCACCTACTCGTTCACACACCCTGCCACCCACCCCACTCACCCACCCACCTACTCGTTCACACACCCTGCCACTCACCCACCCACCTACTCGTTCACACACCCTGCCACCCACCCCACTCACCCACCCACCTACTCGTTCACACACCCTGCCACCCACCCCACTCACCCACCCACCTACTCGTTCACACACCCTGCCACTCACCCACCCACCTACTCGTTCACACACCCTGCCACCCACCCCACTCACCCACCCACCTACTCGTTCACACACCCTGCCACTCACCCACCCACCTACTCGTTCACACACCCTGCCACCCACCCCACTCACCCACCCACCTACTCGTTCACACACCCTGCCACTCACCCACCCACCTACTCGTTCACACACCCTGCCACCCACCCCACTCACCCACCCACCTACTCGTTCACACACCCTGCCACTCACCCACCCACCTACTCGTTCACACACCCTGCCACCCACCCCACTCACCCACCCACCTACTCGTTCACACACCCTGCCACTCACCCACCCACCTACTCGTTCACACACCCTGCCACCCACCCCACTCACCCACCCACCTACTCGTTCACACACCCTGCCACTCACCCACCCACCTACTCGTTCACACACCCTGCCACCCACCCCACTCACCCACCCACCTACTCGTTCACACACCCTGCCACCCACCCCACTCACCCACCCACCTACTCGTTCACACACCCTGCCACTCACCCACCCACCTACTCGTTCACACACCCTGCCACCCACCCCACTCACCCACCCACCTACTCGTTCACACACCCTGCCACTCACCCACCCACCTACTCGTTCACACACCCTGCCACCCACCCCACTCACCCACCCACCTACTCGTTCACACACCCTGCCACCCACCCCACTCACCCACCCACCTACTCGTTCACACACCCTGCCACTCACCCACCCACCTACTCGTTCACACACCCTGCCACTCACCCACCCCACTCATTCACCTCCTCACTCATGGACGTGCGCTCACCAGCCTCACGACTCCTTCCCGCGTGTCGGAGTCGACGCACGCCTCGGAGAGGCGCCCAAACTTAACGAAGAACCTCCTCAGGTCGTCCTCGCTGGCTCCCTGCGGGACGTTGCTCACGACGAGCCCCCCGCGCTGGGAGAAGGGCCGCTCGCCCGCCTTCAGGAACGGGAACCCATTCAGAACCAGTCCCGAGGCGGTGACCCCGTCCAGGGTCCCTTCGTCCGCCGGGCAAGGAGCCTCCGGGGCGGCCGCCGATTCAGGCGAGGGGAAGGCTTCATCATTTTCCGCAGATTCGCCAGGCCGTGGCGTGTGTCGCCCGTCAGATTTCGCGCTCGACTCTTCAGTCTCTCCGTTCTCCGGCATCGTCTTGGCGGCCGTTTCACTGCAGATCTTTGACTGCATCGCGCATATTTTATGCAGAGCGAGGACTTTCAACTAAAACTCATTTGTGTGCTTCTGTCCCTTCTCACACAGCACCCCCCCCTCCTCTATTGTCACGCTCGCCCTCGACTGGCGGAGCGGCAACGCGCGGATTCTGGAAGATCCACGGCGAACGCCGCCACCGCTTCTAGAAGATGCAGCAGACGTCTTGCGGAGATTCAGAAGACGGAGATTGAGAAGACGTCTTGCTGGAGATTGAGAAGACGTCTTGCTGGAGATTGAGAAGACGTCTTGTGGAGATTGAGAAGACGTCTTGTGGAGATTGAGAAGACGGAGATTGAGAAGACGTCTTGCTGGAGATTGAGAAGACGTCTTGTGGAGATTGAGAAGACGTCTTGTGGAGATTGAGAAGACGTCTTGTGGAGATTGAGAAGACGGAGATTGAGAAGACGTCTTGCTGGAGATTGAGAAGACGTCTTGTGGAGATTGAGAAGACGGAGATTGAGAAGACGTCTTGTGGAGATTGAGAAGACGGAGATTGAGAAGACGTCTTGCTGGAGATTGAGAAGACGTCTTGCTGGAGATTGAGAAGACGTCTTGTGGAGATTGAGAAGACGTCTTGTGGAGATTGAGAAGACGGAGATTGAGAAGACGTCTTGCTGGAGATTGAGAAGACGTCTTGTGGAGATTGAGAAGACGTCTTGTGGAGATTGAGAAGACGTCTTGTGGAGATTGAGAAGACGGAGATTGAGAAGACGTCTTGCTGGAGATTGAGAAGACGTCTTGTGGAGATTGAGAAGACGGAGATTGAGAAGACGTCTTGTGGAGATTGAGAAGACGGAGATTGAGAAGACGTCTTGCTGGAAATTGAGAAGATGTCTTGCTGGAGATTGAGAAGACGTCTTGCTGGAGATTGAGAAGACGGAGATTGAGAAGACGTCTTGCTGGAGATTGAGAAAACGTCTTGTGGAGATTGAGAAGACGTCTTGTGGAGATTGAGAAGACGGAGATTGAGAAGACGTCTTGCTGGAGATTGAGAAGACGTCTTGTGGAGATTGAGAAGACGGAGATTGAGAAGACGTCTTGTGGAGATTGAGAAGACGGAGATTGAGAAGACGTCTTGCTGGAGATTGAGAAGACGTCTTGCTGGAGATTGAGAAGACGTCTTGTGGAGATTGAGAAGACGGAGATTGAGAAGACGTCTTGCGGAGATTCAGAAGACGGAGATTGAGAAGACGTCTTGCTGGAGATTGAGAAGACGTCTTGCTGGAGATTGAGAAGACGTCTTGTGGAGATTGAGAAGACGGAGATTGAGAAGACGTCTTGCTGGAGATTGAGAAGACGTCTTGTGGAGATTGAGAAGACGGAGATTGAGAAGACGTCTTGTGGAGATTGAGAAGACGGAGATTGAGAAGACGTCTTGCTGGAAATTGAGAAGACGTCTTGCTGGAGATTGAGAAGACGTCTTGCTGGAGATTGAGAAGACGGAGATTGAGAAGACGTCTTGCTGGAGATTGAGAAAACGTCTTGTGGAGATTGAGAAGACGTCTTGTGGAGATTGAGAAGACGGAGATTGAGAAGACGTCTTGCTGGAGATTGAGAAGACGTCTTGTGGAGATTGAGAAGACGGAGATTGAGAAGACGTCTTGTGGAGATTGAGAAGACGGAGATTGAGAAGACGTCTTGCTGGAGATTGAGAAGACGTCTTGCTGGAGATTGAGAAGACGTCTTGCTGGAGATTGAGAAGACGTCTTGTGGAGATTGAGAAGACGGAGATTGAGAAGACGTCTTGCGGAGATTCAGAAGACGGAGATTGAGAAGACGTCTTGCTGGAGATTGAGAAGACGTCTTGCTGGAGATTGAGAAGACGTCTTGCTGGAGATTGAGAAGACGTCTTGTGGAGATTGAGAAGACGGAGATTGAGAAGACGTCTTGCTGGAGATTGAGAAGACGTCTTGTGGAGATTGAGAAGACGTCTTGTGGAGATTGAGAAGACGTCTTGTGGAGACTGAGAAGACGGAGATTGAGAAGACGTCTTGCTGGAGATTGAGAAGACGTCTTGTGGAGATTGAGAAGACGGGAGATTGAGAAGACGTCTTGTGGAGATTGAGAAGACGTCTTGTGGAGATTGAGAAGACGTCTTGTGGAGATTGAGAAGACGTCTTGCTGGAGATTGAGAAGACGTCTTGCTGGAGATTGAGCAGACGGAGATTGAGAAGACGTCTTGCTGGAGATTGAGAAAACGTCTTGTGGAGATTGAGAAGACGTCTTGTGGAGATTGAGAAGACGGAGATTGAGAAGACGTCTTGCTGGAGATTGAGAAGACGTCTTGTGGAGATTGAGAAGACGGAGATTGAGAAGACGTCTTGTGGAGATTGAGAAGACGGAGATTGAGAAGACGTCTTGCTGGAGATTGAGAAGACGTCTTGCTGGAGATTGAGAAGACGTCTTGCTGGAGATTGAGAAGACGTCTTGTGGAGATTGAGAAGACGGAGTTTGAGAAGACGTCTTGCGGAGATTCAGAAGACGGAGATTGAGAAACGTCTTGCTGGAGATTGAGAAGACGTCTTGCTGGAGATTGAGAAGACGTCTTGCTGGAGATGGAGAAGACGTCTTGTGGAGATTGAGAAGACGGAGATTGAGAAGACGTCTTGCTGGAGATTGAGAAGACGTCTTGTGGAGATTGAGAAGACGTCTTGTGGAGATTGAGAAGACGTCTTGTGGAGATTGAGAAGACGGAGATTGAGAAGACGTCTTGCTGGAGATTGAGAAGACGTCTTGTGGAGATTGAGAAGACGGAGATTGAGAAGACGTCTTGTGGAGATTGAGAAGACGGAGATTGAGAAGACGTCTTGCTGGAGATTGAGAAGACGTCTTGCTGGAGATTGAGAAGACGTCTTGCTGGAGATTGAGAAGACGGAGATTGAGAAGACGTCTTGCTGGAGATTGAGAAAACGTCTTGTGGAGATTGAGAAGACGTCTTGTGGAGATTGAGAAGACGGAGATTGAGAAGACGTCTTGCTGGAGATTGAGAAGACGTCTTGTGGAGATTGAGAAGACGGAGATTGAGAAGACGTCTTGTGGAGATTGAGAAGACGGAGATTGAGAAGACGTCTTGCTGGAGATTGAGAAGACGTCTTGCTGGAGATTGAGAAGACGTCTTGCTGGAGATTGAGAAGACGTCTTGTGGAGATTGAGAAGACGGAGATTGAGAAGACGTCTTGTGGAGATTGAGAAGACGGAGATTGAGAAGACGTCTTGCTGGAGATTGAGAAGACGTCTTGCTGGAGATTGAGAAGACGTCTTGCTGGAGATTGAGAAGACGGAGATTGAGAAGACGTCTTGCTGGAGATTGAGAAGACGTCTTGTGGAGATTGAGAAGACGTCTTGCGGGATATGCTCAACGAAGTGGGCTAATCGTCGTGTGGACATTTATAGCAGAAGCCAATTGCCCTAAACGCGCGTTTCTGAATGTTTCGTGGGGACCCGGAGGAGCCAAACTCCAAATAGCAGCAGCAGCAGCAGGCGTCGTCAGGGTCGGGATCGAGCCTACGACCTCCTGCAGACCGCGCGAGGTAGTCGACATCTCCTGGCCACCGTGCTTCAGCAGCACTGCCGATAGCGTTCACAATCACAGTCTGCATCGACCCTGGAGGAATCCGATGAGCTATGAAGCTCTTTTTCAAAGATGTGCGGTAGTTGTTGAAGAGAAATCCACACGACATTTCAACAATACGAGGTTCAGACGTTCGGCTCACAACATCCACCAGCGCATCTCGCAGTTGGAAGAACTGTGACCATGTCCCTCTGCTCGTGGATGTTGAACTTCTTTCGCACCGTACGTAGCCAACCGTGCTAAGCGGAGGTGCGGGGAGGAAGGACTACAAACTAAACACAACAACAACAAGCAGTTCTAAAGAAACGAGTTTGTCAACCTAGATGACGATTTAAAAGTGCCTAGCTCCCAGTGCCTTCCTAGCATCGGAAGGAAGAGCGCGTTCCAGACGGCCACACAAGCGCATCCGAAAGCGCCACGCAATGCGGTGACCGCCGCCTTCGTTCGATGGGCAGCAGCCAGAAGCCGCCGCTGCCGCTGTTGTTGCTGCGAGGATGACCGGAGCTCACGTGAGGGTTTAACCATCGCTGCCAACCCCTTATCAGTGCCCTGCCTCATTACAGACCAATTCAGACCTTACTGGTCACCCCGTGCCCCTTATACATCTCAACGTTCATCCTACAAAGTCCCATCACAAGGGAGAAACACAAACGCCGCATGGGCCTGAGAACTCACACGGTATGGATTACACTCCTGGACGAGACCAGCGAGGTCGATGCCGTGAGCCTGCTGCGTGTGTTCTCTCATCCGTGTGGTCCCGGCCTCTCTCCGTCATTTGATTTCAAGACCCATTCTTAGATGTTGATACTGGCAAGGGAGCTCCCATGATGAAGCTGCTCACCCCGAGCTTCCAATGTCCTGCTGGTGGCATTGTCTCTGTGCTGCTCGCCTCTTAGCGTCCTCTGGTCTAACACTGTTAGTGAGACTCGGCTCTAAAGAAAGCTGTCTCTGGTGTGGACCAATCAGTTTTAAAGACAATATACTACGAGAGCACGTTTTTGTTTGTTTACATGTTCACCACAAGTATATGTGGTTAATGCAGATATGATTCGTTGCAAAAGGTTTCTGTTTAGTGTTTTAACATCTTAACACAACTATTTTATTGCCAGAAAGGGTAAAACCTATTCTTATACGAGGGACAAAATGTTGAAAGAAAATTCGCGGGCTCCCCCACTAAACGCTAAACACCACCGACATTAAAAATCACAGCCGTGCAATGACGCCCCGATCGTTCTTCCGTTCCAGACAGGGGGATGACACCCGAATGGGGGAGACCCGCAGACCCACGCGTCCCTCCTGTCCCACGAGAACACAGCGGCTCGCCACAGACGAGAGGCTCGTGAAGACGACAGCCAGACGGGAGACGCCACCCAAAGGTGGACCACTTGGAGGCTGTGTCTCTCTCCGCCGTCCACTGCGCGGTCAGCGGCGGCGCTCAGATTGCGGACGGGACAAACGCTGTGAAGGAACTTTTATTTGATTTTTGTTCGGTAACATGGGACTGTCTCGCCCAGTTCTTAACACAATCCCCAGATAAAGTAACCAATACCAGCATGCAACCGCACAATACATTTCCCAAATGTCATAAAAATGTGTGTTTAACTTTGTGCCCGTGGCGAGCGCATGGGAGAGTGAAGATGAGAGGGGAAACGTGCATTGGGGTGTTGCCGTATCTGAACAAGTGTGAGATGGGGCACATCGTGTTTGTCTCTGACGTTTTGGACAGCTATCGATCATGCCCTCTTCGCGAAGCCACAACACCACCAGTCTCGTGGGTATTCACGTTCCTCCAGGACAGCCAATCCACGCCCTTGTCACCTGTCGAGATGGATGCCTGAGTGGGGCTGGAGGCTGGAGCCAGCAGAGCAGAGTGAGTTGAAGTTAAAGGCTTTGTCACTGTGGGTTGTAGGTTATTCCTGCCAAGCACCACGGCGCTATTGAGGGATGTCCCCCCCCCCCCCGCCATTGCGTCCAAGTGCCACCAACTGCTGAGCACATCCAGTGTTGTCAACGTGAGTGCTGCAATAGCCAGGTCGTGTTCATAGAGGTTTGGTGCCACAATAATATATTTGTACATTATTATTACTGCTACTACATTATTGTCTGAAAGCTATGAGCAGGTCGAAGCACTGATCAGTTTAAACCCAGAGCTTCATTTATCATTCTAGTTTCTCCGGAACGCTGCTCGGCTGGCTCGGAGAAGAGAATTTTGCCGTGAAGCGCTTGCATTAGAGTACACAGCGCGCCTACCCATGACAATCCGATATTATTGTACCCTACAGTCCCACACGCCGCCACAGTATCACGAGGACAATATAACGTGAGATGGATTGGGGGTTGCCAAAATTATTCCTGGAAAAGTGTTCCGGGCTGTTCCGGCACGACTTAAACTTCAGGCGACAATTGGGTTGAAGCTATGATTCAGGCTGTAGTTGCTATGATTCAGGCTATAGTTGCTATGATTCAGGCTGTAGTTGCTATGATTCAGGCTGTAGTTGCGATGATGTCGAAGCTCTGATGTTGTGGCTATGATGAGAGTGACCTGAGATTGAAGTTGTCAGAAAGAAGCTATGATGAGATTGAAGCTATGATGACGGTAATGCGATGATGACGACGATGATTAGATTGAAGCTATGATCACGGTAATGTGATGGTGACGATGATGACGATGATTAGATTGAAGCTATGATGATGGTAATGCGATGGTGATGATGATGACGATGATTAGATTGAAGCTATGATGATGGTAATGCGATGGTGATGATGATGACGATGATTAGATTGAAGCTATTATGATGGTAATGCGATGACGATGACGAGGGCTGTCAGTAGATTTTGTCCGTGCAGAAGCACGAGGCCGGGCAGTAGGAGCGGATTATTTTCCCGTTTCCCGTTGGAGCGCAGCCGTAGATCTTCTTCATCGGGTCGCAGTTCGCGTACAGGTTTCTGTAGGGACACGCGTTGGCTGTGCACGTCCGTGTGCACAGCGTGAACACGAAGACACACGCACGCACACGTGCAGACACACACGCACGCGTCACACACACACGTCACACACACACACGTCACACACACACGTCACACGCACACACGCGTCACGCACACACACGTCACGCACACGTCACACACACGCACGTGTCACACGCACGCGTCACACACGTCACACACACATGCACGCATCACACACACACGTCACACACACGTGAGCAAACCCGTCACACACGCACGCGTCACGCACGTGTCACACACACACGCACGCGTCACACGCACACGTCACACACACACGCGTCACGCACACGTCACACTCACGTGAGCAAAACCGTCGTGCTATTTTTCTCTCCTCGCGTGCAGGGCGATCGCAACGCGGACACTCAGTCGGGCAGCTGTTCATGCGCCTGTTTAGAAACCGGTCAGTGACCTTCCTGAACAATGTCTACACACGTGCAATTAGGTTGGGCATGTTTGTAGTGACTTAATATTGCATTGATTTAAACAACAAACAACAAACTACACTTGTATTCTACCAGGTAAGACCCACTCAGCGAATGTAGCTCTTATTGCAGAAGCGACCTGGCTATCACAAATGATAGAGCTCAACGAAGTGGGTTGTCACGTGGACATGTATAGCAGCCAAATACCCGAAGCGCACGTGGATTACTCGCTGTGGAGGGACGAACCAGAGGAACCGGAGACAACCAGAATCCACACGGCCGCGTGGAGAGAGAGACGCGCGGCAGGCGTGAGGGTCGGGGTCGAGCCCACGACCTCCTGTAAATCAGGCGAGGGATACTCACTGCAGAGGTCGTTCTCGCAGTCGTTCGGGCAGCTTCCGCATGGGCTTCCCTCGTCGTAGGGGCGGCTCAAGCGAGTGTTGAGGTTACCGCTGGGAGAGACAACACGCAAGTCATACTCAGCAGCCTCAACACTAGAGCCAGGTTATCCGATTATACAGGGTGCTTCAAAGATGTTTGAACACTTATACGAGACTATCGTTTTTAACGGAAAAAGAACGGATAATACACTGTAACATGATAATAAATGTATCTTAATAGCTTCAAAAAGTCAAAGAGTCTCCACTTGTTCGTCATCATTGTCAATGCGTGCCTGGAATCTTCTCCAGGTGGTCTCCAGAGCCTGGAGGCACATTTATTGTAGTTTTGCTGCAAATTCTCAGGAGTGTTAAAAGATTTTGAAGCACCCTGAATAATCAATTATTCGGGATGTCCCAGCATGCTTTGCATGTCAAGGTGGCAACTCCATGACCAAGCAGTATCACGTTTGGCGTTGGGAGGTTCACGGGTTTGAACGCTGCAGCCGCCCTGGTTAACACAGCAACAATAATAGTCGTGATTATTTCAGCTTGTAACGCGCACAGTATTCACTTACTCTCACAGAGGGAGAATGAATGAGGGGCGAGAGGAGGAACCAGAGGCAAGCAGGAAGGCAGCCACGCGATGAGCCGGCGTCAACAATTGCCCAATCTCTGTGGCCGTCCACGTACGAAGGTGTTGTTGGCCAAATGATGAGCGTTGACATGTGGGAGGAAACCGGAGCACCCGGAGAAAAAAACACGCGTGCGAGGGGGAAACACTCTATCCCCATGAGGACAGAACAGGTTTGCGTCGTCAACATGTGTTGCTGTATAAGAATCGGTTTTACCATTAAGATGTTAAAACACCAAACAGAAACCTTTTGCAAGGAATCCTGTCTGCATTAACCACACACAGGACTTGTGGTGAATACACAAACAAAAACTTGCTCTGATAATATTCGATGCGTTGTCTTTGAAACTGATTGGTCTACACCAGAGACAGCAGCAGCCTTCTTCATGGCCTAGTCTCACCGCCATTGTCAGACCAGAGAACGCCAAAAGGCGAACAGCACAAAGACACTGCACTATCAGGGCAGTTACAAGCTCTGTTCACCACAAGTATGTGCGGTGAATGCAGACATGATTCCTGGCAAGAAGGTTTCTGTTTGGCGTTTTAACGTCTCAACGACAGTTTTATTGCGAGAAAGGGCAACACCTACTGATACTGGCAGGTAAAGGTCCCATGATGTCGCTGCTCACCCCGAGCTATCAATGCCCTGATAATGTTTTTGCTGTAACCGCCTCTTCCTGGCGAGCCAGCGTCTAGGCTCCCTCAACAACCACGCCAAGGCAGTTTGAACGACATCTGCGCTCGTGATCCGCCAACCTTCCGCTGCCGCCTGCCACGGCGCCGGATCGCTGGGCGCGTGCGTAGCCAAATCCGGCGCCGGCAGCCTTACGTCAAGTCAAGTCAGCTTTATTGATCACTTACCCATGCATATGTAGTGACAGGGTGCCATCTGTTGACCATGAAGGATAACTACGGGTAATGGTGCGCTATAAAACAGCCAACCATAAGAGGGGTGTCACTGGGCCAAGGGTCAGAGGCGGGGATCAGTTGGGAAGCTCCTGGAGCCTGCATGAGAGTTCTAGAAGAGGGGCGTGGCCAGAGGCGGGGCTTGGTCACGCTGAGGAGTATAAAAATTAACCCGTAAAAACAAAGTTTTTCACTATAAATCCTTTATATGCGTGGCGGCTAGAGTCCTCTCGTCCTCTGGCTTGAGATGGCTGCCACTTATGGGTCAGATGATTGTCTGCCACCATTAAGCAATTGGTAATGAAATATAATTAGTTTTTTCCTAAAAAGTGTAACATTTTGGAGAAAAAAAATTCACGAAAATAAATTGTCACGCACAACGAGTCTGTGTGCAAAATGTCAGCTCGATTGGATCACGGGAAGTGGGTTAAAAAACGAGCGAAAGATTTGCACGGTCCTAAGCAAGCAAGCGAACTTAATATAAAGGATTTAAAAATATATTCGCCTGTGGAGGACGCGGGGATCGATCCCGCGACCTTTGGCATGGGAAGCGAGGGCGCTACTAACTGCGCTACTCCACCACGGTCTGTGGAGGGGTTACGCTCTGGGCTCTTGCACTGTGATGTTCAGCCAAAGCAATGAATGCGTTCTATTTGAATATATGTAAAATATTTTTTTTTTGCCTAAAAAGTGTAAAATTTTGGGAATTTTTTTTCACGAACAATAATTGTCTGGCACAACGAGTCTGTGTGGAAAATGTCAGCTCGATTGGATCACGGGAAGTGGTTTAAAAAACGACCGAAAGATTTGCACGGTCCTAAGCAAGCAAGCAAGCACGCGAACTTAATATAAAGGATTTAAAAAGGGGAAGGTAGCCGGAGGTTCGGGGCGGTCGTGGGGGTTCAGATCCTGGCTGCAGTCGCTGTCTTTGACGTCATCTCTTCATCGTCATCCGGCCGTATAGCCGATCCGCTGTACGGTCCCCATCGTTGTCGTCGCTGTATAGTCAGCCGGCTATATAGTTAGACGCCGGCGATGTGGCTGTATGAGTGGGTCAGCTCTACGTAGCTCAGTGTAAATGTTATTCAGTGACTCTGCCCGTAAAGTGTGAGAAATAAACAAGGAGCCCTCTACAAGTCGCGTCTTGGAAGTCGCTCACTCCACATACATGAGGCACATGGCGGTGAGATTCTTTATTCAAACAGCAGCGATATTTTTGTTGCTGATGATGAAAGTGACGTGTGCATAGCAGAAATAGTGTCCCCTGCGGGTGAGCTTTATAAATGGTCTTGTTATGCAACATTTTCTTGTTTGGTTAATGTCTAGTGTAGGCAGTGGGGTGTCCCCCCCCTCCACCCCCGCTCGCGAGTGGCGCTGTTCCCTCGAGTTTCGCGTGTGCACATCTTGATGGATTACTCACGCGGGGCAGTAATGGCACACGTAGACATACTTGTAGATGGCCTCTGGGCAGTAGCTGACCCCACAGCCCAGCTGGAAGGAGCTGTACCACACGACCTGAAGGGACGGAGAACAGCAGGGCAACAGCCTCGATGTCAATGAGGGGGTGGGGGGGGGTCAACGTCTCGGCCGATGGGTGCCGCGGCTGATGCCACCGCGCCGACCAGGGTTGCCACCTCTCTGGTTCAAAAAAGAAAAAACCGGGGCCTATCACGGGAGAAGGAAGAATATGACTCGCAGTGCCAGAAGCGGGGAGCGCGGGGGGGGTATCAAAGCGAAGCGCGCGTGAATTCATCATCTTGAGTTGCGGATTTTATTACGCAGCTGACAACAACAACAAAAAACACCCGGCACTTTTCATCACCGTCGTTGTCATCATCGAAATCGGGCCTCCGGGTTCGTCGCGCAGCGCGCTAACCGCTGCACCGCCGCTCCCCACAGACGCACGCACCTGCGTGTAGTGGCCGATGTCTCCGGGGGCAGCCGCACCCTTGCCGAAGATGAAGCCCGGCGCATCGGCTTCGTTATACCAGTCGAGCACGGCGTCCTGCCACGAGAGCGGCGCCGTGGCCAGGAAGATGTTCTCCCCGCACTGGAACCCTGCGCGGCCGACGACCGGCGGGCACGGGTTGGGTGAGAGAGTGTGGACAGGGTTATGGTTAGAGATGTAGATAGGGTTTTAGTTAGAGATGTGGATAGGGTAATGGTTATAGATGTGGATAGGGCTACGATCAGAGTTAGGACCGTGATTCGGGATCGAACTGTGGTTCTGGCCGAGGCTGTGGTCGGGGCCGTGGTTGCTGTGAGTGCCATGGGTCGAGTGCTCAGGTCAGCTCAACGTCCAAATGCCTCCTCTGCTCCGTGCCCTCTTCAATGTCGCCTCACCTGGAGTCTTGCGATTGTCCACGGGGCTGTGGTTGAGGGTGCACCTCTTGGCCCAGGCCAGGCTGTTGTTGCCAGCGACCGAGTTCCATTCCTGTGCCGGCGACAGACGGACAGACGGTCACACTGCGTCACCAGACGGCGCGCAGGGGATGTCGAGAGCCGTGGTTCTTCTCAACCTTTCTTGGCTACTGCTGTGTGACCCTCACCCCCCCTCCTTGTTTTAATTTTGTTTCAACCCATTCAACCCCCCCACCATTTTGTCTGACCCAACGTGGTTCTGGGAAATACACGTATGGATTAATGAACGATTATATTTTAATCCTAATTGCCCATTTCGTGGGGTTACCCCAACTGGTTTGGTAACGAATACGTTTTAAAACCCTTTCTGGCAATAAAAAAATTGTGTTGAGGTGTTCACACGCCAAATATACACCTTTTTCCAGGCATCAAGTCTGCATTAACCACACACACTTGGGGGGAAACATGCAAACAGACAATGCCCTCATTGTTATTAGGCCATGTTTGCGTGTTCACCACAAGTATGTGTGGTGAAAAGGCAGACTTGATTCCTTGAAAAAAAGGTTTATATCTGGTGTTTGAACATCTTAACACCTTCTGTTGTATTTCCAGAAAGGGTAAAACCTATTCTTCTTTTTTTCGTACTTTAATACTGGCAAAAAAGTCCCATTTTGTAGTTATGTAACTGCCAGCGAATACAACAACAAAAATCAACAGACGCTCTGCAAGCGTGAGGTAGTTTGTTCATGCTCACTGGTTCATAACGTGTCAACCCATACGGTTTATGGGGAAATTGTGTTTTCAGGTCCATACGGTGAACAACCGTTTCAATACGGGCCAAGAAGTGTTCTTGTCTATGTGTTTGTGTTTCTGCCTTGTGATGGAACTTTGTAGGATGAACGTTGAGATTTATAAGTGGCACGGGGTGACCACTAAGGTTCTGAATTGGTCTGTAATGAGGTAGGGGCACTGATAAGGGGTTGACAGCGATGCTGGTTGCTCGTGTAAACCAACATTGTTCACGATCAGCGAGTTTAGAAATTGTCCTTAATGTCGTTCTAAGGTGACCACGTGGATTATAATTGCATCGTAGTTATTGGCAGTTGGCAGAGTCGTACATGATTATACGCCAATGACTCTCGCGTACGACATATAATGTCACATTTATAAATCACCCGACGTTGCACACCCTGGGACGTTGCCACGTGCACCCCCACGACGAGGTGGGGGGGGGGGGTCCGTGCCTACCCCCGATTGAGATCCCACTGGCTTAGGATGAGACCCCCAAAAGTCGAATCCAGCCTGGAGTTTATTTTGCTCAAACACATTTCGCAGCTTGGTGTGGGCCTGGGAGAGCCACGAGGCATGTGGACTTCCCACACGCATTGTGGATGTGGGTTCAACACGAGAACCCGGCAAGTGTGTGTGCACAGTACCTCTTCTTGGTTCTTTCGGTAAAGTCACGTAGAAGGGAAGTAATAAAATAATAAAAATAAAACATAATAAAACAATTCTCACGACGTTTCGGCCATGGGCAGGACGGCTGCTTGCGTTGTGGTCGAAACGTCGTGAGAATTGTTTTATTATGTTTTATTTTTATTATTTTATTACTTCCCTTCTACGTGACTTTACCGAAAGAACCAAGAAGATGAATCCCTGCAGTCACGAAAGCTTTAAATCGAAATTTGCACAGTACCTGTTCTCTATACGACTCGGCTCACGAACAGAAGGTTGCGGCTTCAAATCCCCCATCATCGATGATCGAGAACGTTCGCAATGCCACTCAGAATCGGGGTTGGAATGTGCGTTAAGCATCTTCTGCCCAGAGGGTTCTCTCCGACGTGGCCACTCTGAATCCCCCAGGGGATGAGCAAAGTGAAGCCGTGGGAGTCCAGATTACCATGGGAGTCGAGTTTTCCATGGGCAGGGGTAAAAAATGTCTCTTCTTGTAATTTGGTTGCCGACACGACTCCTGCAAATAGCCAGCGATAGACGCCCAGCCGCAGGGCTTGAGCCTCGGCCTCATGAGCTGCTGGCTCGGTTGTCTCTATCTCAAGGGGGTCCATGACCCTATAACCCTCCCTCCTCTGCGACGCGTCGTTTCCACGCGTGTAACCAAGCCGCGCCGGGGCCGTGCCCGTGTGTGGGCGGACCTTGGTCTGGCTCAGGCCTTACCATCTTGAGCATGTTGGTGGGGAGCGGCGTCACGTTGGCGCGCAGCTCGTTGTGCAGCCTCACGATGGCCAGCTGCACATCCGGCGAGCTCGTGTCCAGCTGCTCGATCGTCTGCAGCTCGTAGGCGCCCGCCAGCAGCCAGGTCGCGGCCACCAGCGCCGCCAACGCGTTACGGCAGCTGACGGCGGAGAAGGCGGCGTCAGCCCTCGCGATCGTTATATTTCATGCCATCTCACCCAAAAAAAACCACTCATAGATCAGTTTAAGCTGACATCATCATTATAAACGTATCACTGTGAACATGTCATCAATATCTTCATAATCACGAGCAGCAGCAGCAGCATCTACTTATAAGAAGGTCAAGGTGAAGTGAAGGTAAGCCACGGTGGTGTGATGTCATCTTCCTCGCCTGCTATGCAGGAGGTTCGATCCCGACCCTCACGCCTGCTGCTGTATATTTGAAGTTTGCGTCTCTCTCTCTCATCATCATCACGGTGGCTAGGAGATGTTCACTACCTCGCTTGGTATACAGAAGGTCGTGGGTTCGATCCAGACCTGACGCCTGCTGTATATTTGGAGTTTGCGTGACTCTCTCCCCGTGGTCGCGTTGTTTTTTTCTTTGGTTCCTTCGTTTTTTTCCCTCCACAATTATAAACATGCACTGAGATTATCTCGAGCAGGGGTCCCCAACCTCCTGGCCGCGGACCGTGGCCTGTTAGGAACCAAGCCGCACAGCAGCAGGAGGTGAGAGCGGTGAGTCCGTGCGTGCCCCCCCCCCCCCCCCCCATTGTTCTATTATTGACAACTTCCGTCCGCGCCTCTCTCCCGCACTGCGCACTTGACTCAGTCACAGTTCTGGTGAACCCACGAGCTCTGACCCCGAGTAGCCACAATGAGTAAAAACACACGTCGCTGGAGAGCTTCTTTGAAAAGGGGGAAAGACCCAATGATGACCCCCCCCCCCCCCGGTCCGTGAAAAAAATTGTCTTCTACGAAACCGGTCCCTGGTGCCAACGAGGTTGTGGGCCGCTGCTCTCGATGCTATAAATGTCAAAATGATGATGGGCCACTTTGTTGAGCTGTCATTTGTGATGGACAGGTCGCTTCTGAACAACAAGTGAATACCTCAGTGGGCTTTGCCTGGTAGAATGAGATGATTTAGTGTTGTATTTGTCTGGGTGTATTTGTTCTTTCTTGTACTGTTTGTTATTGTGACGTTCTTACCCGCCCCTACTGAGCATCAGTGAACAAAGAGCTTTTTGGCTAATCGGATTCCTCCTGCAGTATAAATATATTAAGACTCTGCTTCTCATTCTGGACTTGCAGTCCTGCAAATTGTTGCGGGAGGAAGGGGCCCCCACTGGAGGCCGCTCCAGGGAGCCCCTCGAGTGGAGCGGATTCGTCCTCCCTCTCCCACGGTAGCCCTGGCAAACATTGTCAGAGGTGGCAGTCCACCCCACCTCCACCCCCCACCACGTCACCGCGCCGTACGCGACCCGCCCACGGCTGCTGCTGCTGCTGTATGCTCGGAGTTTGCGTGTCTCTCTCTCTCTCCCCGTGGTCGCGTGGATTATTCTCTAGGTCCTCCGGGTTTTCCCTCCACATTTAGGAATCAACGTCACCACGCGTTCAGAGTTTATTGACCGCTACAAATGAACCTGATGGCGGGACCCCGGGGTCCCCACAAGCCCCCGGCTCTCGCGTCGACTGCGTTGCGACATCGTTTTCTGTCTGTTGAAGGCGAACGACGCGGAGATCTGTTCCTCTCGACGAGCTCTACACGGTGCGCTAATCAAAGTTTAAAAGTTGTGTTTGTGGCTACGGCAATTGTGGCAACGACGGGTGCCTGGTGAAGAACGAGAGGACTGATTTCTGGTGAGACGGAGTCGCCAAAAAGACATTGATAGTACATTAATTATTAACGGTTTTTTATTATTTGGTTCTTTCGGTAAAGTCACGTAGAATTTTTTTCTTACAAAAAACTACGACATTTCGATCGCAACACAAGCAGTCATCAGGATGACGACTGCTTGTCATCAGGATGACGACTGCTTGTGTTGCTAAAACATGTTTTGTTCTCCGTGACTTTACCGAAAGACCCAAAGATTGTGAATTTTTGCAGTCATGAAAGCGTTAAGTGAAAAAATTATGAAAGTAAATAAAATAAAAACTACGAAGTTTCCTCCTGAAGACGATCGCTTGTGTTGTGAACGAAACGTCGTCGTTTTTTAAATTTTATTTACTTTTATTCTTATTTTTTCTATCTACGTGGCTTTACCGGAAGCACCAAAGAATATGAATTCCTGCAGTCGCGAAAGTTTCAAGTCAAAATTTAATGACGATTTTGACTTCCGTTTATGCGGGACCCCGGGGTCCCGCCACCAGGTCCACGTGTCCACGTGACGAGGCCACTTGGGCTGTCACGTGTGGCCGGGTCGCTGCCGAGAGAATAGCGACATTGTGGCTCTTACCTGGTCAAATAGAACATAGTTTCATTCCTAACTCAGAAGGGTTTTTTTTTAGTTACACCGAGAGAGACGGAGAGAGGAACGCGAGGATTCAACAACGACATCGCCCACGAAGAGGAGCGAGTTGGGACGTGGGCACGACGCGTCCAAGTGGATCACCACGCAGGAGGAGATGGAGCGATAGAACGGGCCAACATGCAGGTGGCTAGATGGATAGATTGTTGTGTTGATGGTAGTGACGATGATAAGAATAGGTTTGACCCTTTCTGGCAATAAAACAGTTGTGTTACGTTGTTAAAACATCAAACAGAAACATTTTGCAAGGAATCATGTCTGCATTAACCACAGATACGTGTGGTGAACATGCAAACAAAAAACGTTCTCTCGGAGTATATGATGACGCATTGTCTTTGAAACTGATTGGTCCACACCAGAGACAGCTTTCTTTAGAGCCGAGTCTCACTAACAGCTAGACCAGAGGACGCCAAAAGGCGAACAGCACAAATACAATGCCACTATGAGGACATTGAGAGCTCGGGGTGAACAGCGAATATAAGAATATATATACTAACAGAGCAGGGTTTGTTTTCGCACGTTCACCACAAGTGTATGTGTTTAATGCGGACACGATTCCTTGCAAAATGTGTCTGTTTTGATGTTTTAACATCTGAACACAATTGTTTTATTGCCAGGAAAGGGGTTAAACCTATTCTTATATTTTGACAGCGGCAAGGGAGGTCCCCTGACGGTGGTGATGACAACTACTTACGTGCTCATGTTGAGAGGCCAGGCGATCAGGAGTCTGCTGTAAGTGCTCCACTGTGGACCAAGCAAACCCTTTATATCACCCGCAGCCGCATGCGGTGACGTCACAATAATTTTGCCAATGTGGCAGCAGTCTCCGAAAATTGTACAATTCTGTTTTTTTGCCCTGACCAGCAGAAATCCTCAGAGTCGCGCCCTCCGTGCCCCAATAAACACGCGCAGCCGTCATGCAAATGCCGCACTCTCTGCGCCGCCCTGGGCTTCCCATGATGTTTGTCGATCTGTTTACATTCATCACGCGATGACAAGTTGGTATTTTCAATATGAGTTTCAATGGAGCTCAGCTCGAAGTGTAATTTTGTTTTAAAAATGGAAGATAAATGACGGGGTTTTTTTTAGTTTCGACGTATTTTTCTGAACCGTTTGCGAAATGCATTGCTGTTGTTACACCACCACTACCATCATCATCAATCAGCCATGGTCAATCCACTGCCGGATGGAGGCCTTGCCCAAGCCGCCACCTCTCACGATCCCGTGACGATACAACGATCCGCACGGGGGAGCGGCTGATTGTCACGGCTCCGTCTCCTCCCTGGGCGGACGTCCTCACGGGCGCGTCTCGTGCCTTGGCCGCCGCTCCGTTGTCGATCTTAACCACCGGGGGTCGTCGCTTCGACCCTGACACCTGCTGCTGTATATTTGGAGTTTGCGTGTCTCTGTCATCATCATCATCACGATGGCTAGGAGATGTTAACTACCTCGCCTGGTATATAGGAGTTTGGGGTTCGATCCTGACCCTGACGTCTGCTGCTGTATATTTGGAGTCTGCGTGTCTCTTTCATCATCATCATCACGGTGGCTAGGAGATGTTAACTACCTCGCCTGGTATACAGGAGTTTGGGGTTCGATCCTGACCCTGACGTCTGCTGCTGTATATTTGGAGTTTGCATCTCTCTCTCTCCCCGTGGTCGTGTGGATTTTTCTCCGGGTCCTCCGGTTTTACCCTCCACATTTACCATCGACGTGCGCTTAAGAGTCTTTGGCTTCCGATGTCCACGTGATGAGCCCACTTCGTTGAACTCTCAGTTGTGATAGCCAGGAGGTCGCTTCTGAAAAAGAACTCCACTCTGTAGCCCAGTACGTCCTTACACCTGGTAAAATAAAATGTTTAAGACGTTATTTTAGACACCCAAACGGTTATAGTTGCGGTACCAAGTAAGACTTCTGTCTGGTCGAATCAAACGGTAGCTGCTGAGTGACCGCGGCGAATGTCATGGACTTCCCCTGCGCACGGCTGCTGCTGACGATGTCGAGCAGCAGCTGCGATTCTACATCGAGGAAGGAGGAGGAGGTTGGTCGATGTGCACCGATGACTGCGGCGGCAGGAGTGTGGCGGAGTGGTGAATTGTCGCTGCTGCTGCTGCTGTGATGATGCATCCTGCCTAGCTCGCTCGCTCGCTCGTGTGCGTTTGTGAATCGGGCGTCGAGGGTCATCCTATGTAGCAAGGCTCTGCTGCTCTGGGTGGTGACCGCAGTCGCTTGTGACAGTGACTGCAGACAATTGTGATACCTTTCTTGGCAGTATCAAAATATAACAATCGGGTTTACCCTTATTGGCAATAAAATAGTTGTGTCAAGATGTTAAAACACCAAGACAGAATCATTGTTCAAGGAATACTGTCTGCATTCACCACACACAGGACTTGTGGTGAAGATGCAAACACAAAACATACTCTGATAAAACATGGTGCATTTTATTTGAAGCTGATTGGTCCACACCAGAGACAGCTTTGTTTCAAAGACAATGCATAATTTATTGACAGAGCATGTTTTTTGTTTGCATGCTCACAGTAAGTACTGTGTGGTTAAAGCAGACAGGACTTCTTGAAAAATGATTATGTTTGGTGTTTTAACATCTGAACACAACTGTTTTATTGCCAGAATGGATAAAACCTACTCTTATATTTTGATACTGGCAAGAAAGGTCCCACAATTGTCTGCAGTCACTGTCACACGCGGCTGCGGTCACCACCCAGAGCAGCAGAACCTTGCAACACAGGACAGCGACTTGCAGAGTTTGCAAAAAAAAATTCCATTTGTGCAACAACAACATCATCATCATCAGAGTTTCTGCCGCGGCAGCTGCTGCTGCTGTCACTGCCACGGTTGATGCTGCAGATGCGGCTCAGGGGTTTATGGCCCAGACGCTTCGCGAGAAGATCGAAGCGAGTGGGGGAGCGGGGATCGGATGGGTTCACGCGATGCGACAAATGCCGCCCCCCCCCCCCCATTGCAGCCGCACGCCAAGAAAGACGCAATCGAAGATTCCGCAAAAAATTTATCGCGCGCCGCGTGGCCGCCGTCATTCATCGACCTTAATGCGACACGTCGTTGTTGTTGTTGTTGTTCGTCGTTGTTCGTCGTCGTTGTTGTTGTTGCGAGAGCAATGTCTCTTGAGACGTTCGGGCCGGAGAAAGAAGCTCCTGGAAGCGAGGTTCGTGGCAGCGAGGATGATGCATGGGCCCCACCTCCTGAGCCCGTGCTCATCGCTCGCAGCGGCGAAGGGTGCGGGGGTCGTTGAGGTCCCAGTAAATCATCGAGTGTCGTGTCGGCTGTCTCTGGGCGATGGGGAGACATTAAGGTGGTGGTTGTTGTTTTCGTGTGTTTTGTCACCAGGAGGTCTCAATGTCTCGGGCTCTTTTTTTTTAAAGAAGCCGCGGTCATTATTTTATATGTCAGCGAACATCGTTGTGTGGGGGGGCGTTTACCCCCCCCCCCCCCCGGCGCGGTTTCAACTCCTCGGTGATGAATGACTTTTTCTTTGTCACGGGCATTGGATGTCCGCGGCGTTTGTTGTTGTGTTTTTGTTGTTTTGCGACGGGATCCTATGACGACGCTTCTCGGCAAGAACCAAAAACATCTAAAGGACGCCAGATCGCAACAAAACCTCGCAAACGGCGCGGAGCCACGGGGTAACGATGGAGCTCGGGCGTGGGGAGACATTCAGAGTGACGGGAGTGTTCTACAGAGCCAGCTGGTGGAATCTCAAGGTGATGATGATGATGGCGACGACGATCTCCAGAATTACCAAAAAATACGTGCAGAGTAGAGCCCATTCTGAGTGGTGAAACCTTGACGCAGGAGGTTCTAGAAGGAAGGACTGCTGATGATGATGCTGATGATGTGTGTAAGATGATGCTGATGATGTATGATGATGCGTGTATGTTGATCCTGATGTGTGTATGATGATGATGGTGTGTATGATAACACTGTGTAACAATTTTTTTTTCCTGGGTAGTAAGTGTTATTTCCTAATTGCTTATGTCTCAAAAGTAAAGAAAAGGTCTATTATTCCCCACAAACTTTGCTTTTGTGACGAGTGATATTTTGAAATTTTCCAGAACATTCCAGATAGATTCAGTACTGAGTAAACTTGGAGTAACTTCTAGAGCATTCTAGATCTTTCCAGTAATTTAAATAGTATAAATACAGGGGCATTAAGCCCACTAGTTCAGTTTAGTGCCAGCTGCCTAAGTGGATACATATCTGCATTTTTCTGAGATGGCATCAAGAGGCTGCAAGCATCCAGCAGACGCATTTGCGATGTCTGCGGCCAATTTATCAAGACAAGAGCGATACAGTACTCTGTGGAAGCGTCTGCTAAGATGTGTGAGGCCTACAAGGCATATTTCGGCATGCCTGTCGGGGATCAAGAAAACCCTGGGCACCTCATTTCACCTGCGAGCAATGCAAAACAACTCTGGAAGGTAAGATGGACAATTGTTGCTCGGAATTTTACGTTATAAAATTTTTTTTAAAAATATTTGTTTTTTAAAGTTTTACAATTTTCAATGCTATTGAAAAAAATATATCAAAATGAAAAATGTTGCGATAATCTCTTACACGTTAGTCATGGGTGAAATAAATGTATTTTTGTAGGATGGTACAGAGGAGAAAAGAGAGCCATGAAGTTCGCTATCCAAAAAATTTGGCGGGAACCCACTGACCACTCAAGCAACTGCTACTTCTGCATGGTGGACCCTTCCGGACATTCCTTCATCTATCACCCCGGTGCCACACTGCCATGAGCTCCCCGTACCCACTCCTCCGGAGCGAGAGCAGCCGTCTCTAGAAGAGAGCGGCAAGTCAGTGAGCGAGGAAGACGTTGTAGATCCAGATGACAATTTCAGAGGTGGAGTTGAGGAGAGAAACCCATACTACCCCAACCAAAAAAACCTCAACGACTTGATCAGAGATCTTGGTCTCACCAAGTCCGATGCCGAGCTTTTGACGTCTAGGCTCAAACAGTGGAACTTGTTGGATAAATTGTGCAAGTCGCAGATCAGAGGAAGCGTCACCAACCTTTAGCAGCTTCTTCACCCGTCAAGATGGGATTTGCTTCGACCACAATGTGACCAGTCTGTTCGAGGCAATCGGAATCGCCTGTAACCAGAACGAGTGGCGCCTTTTCATTGACAGCTCATCCAGGAGCCTCAAAGCCGTGCTGCTCCATAATGGTAACAAGTACCCGTATCTTCCCCTGGCTCACTCGGTACACCTCAAAGAGGATTACAACAGCATCAAGACCTTGCTGGACGCCTTGAAGTATGATGAGTACGGCTGGGAGGTCATCAGAGACTTGAAAATGGTGGCATTCCTGATGGGTCTTCAAGGCGGTTTACCAAGTTTCCCTGCCATCTTTGCCTTTGGGACAGCAGGGACACCAAGGCGCACTACCACAGGCGGGACTGGCCACAGCGGACCGAGTTCTCTGTGGGGAGGAACAACGTCAAGTGGGAGCCACTGGTGGACACCCGGAAGGTGCTGATGCCACCACTGCACATCAAATTGGGCCTTATGAAACAATTTGTCAGAGCTGTAGATAAGGAGTCGGCAGCCTTCAAGAACCTTCAATACTTTTCCCTAAGCTGTCTGAGGTAAAGGTCAAAGCCGGTGTCTTCGTCGGACCACAGATAAAGAAGATCCTGGAGTGCAATGAATTCCCCAAGAAGCTCACTAGTAAGGAGAAAGCAGCTTGGGACAGCTTTGTCGCAGTGGTTCGTGGCTTCCTGGGCAATCACGAGGTCGAAATCTATGTGGAGCTGGTTGAGACTTGTGAAGAACTACGGCGCAATGGGCTGTAGGATGAGCATCCTTGATGCTCATCTTGATAAATTCAAGGAGAACATGGGAGCGTACTCGGAGGAGCAAGGCGAGCGCTTCCACCAGGATATACTGGACTTTAAACGCCGCTACCAAGGACAGTATAACGAGAACATGATGGGAGACTACATTTGCGGTCTGATTCGTGAAAGTGATTTACAGTATAATCGTAAATCTCGAAAACCATTCACTTCTAAATCTTTTGTAGTCATTTGTGTATTACTTTAGTATAAATACATGTTAATTTAGATTAATGTTGTTTTTTCTGACTTTATGTGAACGAAAAGACACAATTTAACACGTAGGCTTTCGCGACCAATATTATTCTGGCGAATTGCCCGATGATGTTGGATGCAATTACCAGCGAAACGTCGTACTCAAATTGTAAATGTTGTGGTTTCACGCTTCAACACACCGGTGGGCAAAAGCAGTGAACTATTTGTCTTTTGTAAACGTGACACTTTTTTACTGATTGGCCGTGTCGGGTGGTGGAGGGTTACGACACATTTATAAATAACGCGATCTAAACCCAAAAACATTGATTATGAAAAGACACAAATTCGCCCATTTTTTCATTGTAAATAGGTAAATTAAAAAATATCACTGTCCTGGTCACAAAAGCAAAGTTTGTGGGGAATAATCGCCAATTTCCATACATTTTTGGCATAAGCAATTACGAAATAACACTGACTACCCAGGAACAAAAATTGTGTCACATCGTGTAATGATGTGTGTATGGTGATGCTGATGTGTATGATGATGGTGTGTAGGATTTGTGTATGATGATGTGTGTATGATGATGGTGTGTGTATGATGGTGGTGTATATGATGATGATGTGTGTATGATGATGTGTGTATTATGAAGATGTGTATGATGGTAATAATGTGTGTATGATGAGCATCATGATGTGTGTATGATGATGGTGTTTGTATGGTGGTAATGTGTGTATGATGATCATCATGGTGTGTGTGATGATGGTGTGTGTATGATGAAGGAGATGATGATGATGCAGCGTGCGATGATGTTTGAGCCAGTCACTGGCACTGGACAGGGGACGACAGGACGACTCGTTCTCCTTTCGACAAGGCGATCATATCGTGAATAACCTACACCCAGTTGTCGATCCACTGCTGGATAAAGGCCTCCCCACACCACGCCGGTCAATGCGGGTTGGTGATGAACAGAGTGAACCAAAATGGGACCTTTTTTGCCAATATCAGAATATGAAAAAATAAGAACAGGTTTAACCCTTTCTGGAAATACAACCGGTGGTAAGATGTTCAAACACCAAACAGAAACCTTCTTGCAAGGAATCAAGTCTGCATTAACCACGTGTACTTCCGGTGACCTTGCAAACCAACATGCTCTGATATTATTTGGCATTGTCTTTGAATCTGATTGGTCTACACCAAAGACACAGAAGCCTTCTCTATAGCCGAGTCTCACCGGTGTCAGATCAGAGAACGCCAAAAGGCGTCCAGTATGTACATACAAATGTACGACGAAAATGACTCGATTGGTATATGCAGACAGCAACGTCGCCCCTGTAGTACCGGCAGGACCCTCCTGAAAAAAAATCTTGAGACTCAGTGAAGCTTCGCTGGTCGAACAAAAGCAAAGAGATGTCCCGTCGCCCTCTTTACTGAAACCATCATCGGTGGTGATCTATCCACTGCTGGATGACGGTCTCCGCAAGCTATGCGATGTGACAATCCACCCAGACCACACTGATTTCATCGCTCCATCTCCACGATGGAGGCCCACTACCGGGTGTGAATTCCAATTTGTCTGTCACTTCATGCAAAGTATTTGACCTTCATACTCATACACCCATTCACTCTCCCACCGAGCCACTCGCTCACTCACCCACTCACTCTCCCACCGGCCCACTCGCTCACCTCCTCACCCACCCAATTGCCATAGCTTTGCGGTCCTCTATATGTGAAGGTGTTCTCGGGCAATTGGCGACTACGCGTGTGGGAGAAAACCTTGAGCAGCTGGAGAAACCTTGAGGAGATGAGAAAACCCACGCGGTGCGAGGGGGCAACACTCCATCCCATACAGACGGAACAGGTCGTGTCCACACTCTGCTGGGAATCGAGTCTTGCAATGTCTGCGTGTGATCCGCCAACCCGAGCTGCTGCCTCCACAAGTGCCGCATCACATGGGCACTGCAGTGGCCACCACCACCATCGAGCTATAGACATCCCTACAGCGAATAATATATATGTAGTAAGTATATGGAGGCTTGACGACAGGATCGGAGGCACACTTATTTATTACACCAACACAGTTATTTACAGGTCACTGGGCTACAGGGATTTCTCGACAGCTAACCCCTCTAACCTATACCAATTCCTCCACTACGGGACTAGGGGAGGCTATCTGTCCCAGCTTGGTTAAGCTGGGATCCCGGCTCCCTGAGTCACCAGACCAGCTTCGTCTGGGCTCTCGGGGCCACGCCACCGGCTTGCCCTGGTCGGCCCTTATAAAGACAGCGAGCCAGGGGAGCTCTGGGGCCTACACTAGCTGGTCTTCCGTCTTCTCTGGTTATAGCTGAGTCCCGACTCCCGAGCCTTTCGGCTCATCACCTTTTATAGGACTTGCCCCCAAGGGGGGGGCCCGTGGGGGATACACATGCGGACGTCGGTGCGAGCGCCACCCTTGTGTACGGCCGTAACCCCGCCCCTTGTGTTTGTTGGCCATCCGTGGCCATGCATAATCACACCTCAACATTCGTAGACATGCGCAATTACACCTCTACATCACCCCCCCCCCTGTACAGCTCGCAGCCGTCCCCGGCTGCAAAAAAAAAAATCAGAATAAAGGTGCATCCCTCACAAAAACCCCGTGTGTGCCTCGCGTAATTTTTAACAAGAACAAGAACAACGAGAGGAAGAGAGAGAGAGAGAAAAAAAATATAACCCGACGCACCCCCCCCCGGATAACACCCCAAAACCAACATATATATACACTCCGGACGTCACCTTTCCCATCGTCCGCAAGGCCCCCCAACGGCCGTACCAATTTCGACGAGGTTGCCAGCGGCACCTGAGGACAGTGCAACCACGCCCTGTCCCCTGGTACCCATTTGACCACCTGCACCCGCCCCAACCGAAGCCTCTCGTTCGCCTTCTGGCGGAGTTCAGAATTTTGCACGGCCGCTTCCCGCGCCTCAGACAATTGAGCGATGTTAAATTTAACGTGTTCGGACAACTTAGACTTCGCCTGGAGCGCCGAGAGCTTCAGCTGGGTCGCCACAGAAGGGTTAACTTCGCGCCCATACATTAAAAAGAAAGGGGAAAATCCGGTGGCCGCATGGGGAGCCATTCTGTAGGCCTGCAACACACCGGCTATGCGGAGGTCCCAATCCGTCTGGGATACCGACACCTGCTGGGACAGCATGGACGTGATGGTCCGATGCAGCCGTTCCACCATCCCGTCAGTTTGTGGGTGATACGGAGAGGTCCGAACCTTCTCCGTACCCAAGAGGTCGCACACCTCACGTAGGAGTTTACCAGAAAAATTCCTACCCTGGTCAGTAAGCAGCCGTTCCGGAGCACCCTTGTCGAGGACATAGCCCTGGACAAAGGCCTCCGCGATGGCTGCTGCCGATTGGTTCGCCAGGGGCCAGGCCATAGGCCATCTCGTGAAGTATTCAACCCCCGTTAGTAAATACCTATTGCCCCTGGGTGTAGCGGGAAATGGGCCAAGTATGTCCAGAGCGACGAGCTCGTTAACCCTGGAAACTTTTATGGACTGCAGCGGAGGGTTGGACCCCCTAGCAGGTGGCTTCCTCTGCGCGCATTGCGTGCACGACCCCAAGAGGTCCCCCACGTCCTTTTCCATGCCTGGCCAGAAGAAATCTAGCTGGAGCGTGGCAAAGGTCTTATGAACCCCCAAGTGCAGAAGCCGCTCATGAACAGCCCATACCACCTTACCCCTTAAAGCAGCAGGCACCACGAGCTGCTGGCGCCGGGTTTTACCATTCCAGTGCATTAAAAGTCCCTGGAACAACCCCCACGAGTCAACGTTTTCCACCCCCTGGCCAATCCCCCCGGCGCGACGGCGCAGAGCGAGGAGGGAGGTGTCCTCCATTTGGAGGCGACCCCATTCCGCGACTGACAACCCCAGCAACGAATCCCTCCCTTCTTGCTCGATAGGACCCGAAACCGAAGGTGCATCGGCAGCGGCCACGAGGACCGAATCGGTGGTGACGTTCGGAGACCTACAACGCCCCGAACCCAAGAGGCACGCGCACTCCGAAGTGGGTGGCAATCGCGACAGGGCGTCAGCGTTCGTGTGGCGGAGACCCTTACGATATGTGGTGACAAAGTCATAGTCTTGGAGAATCTCCAACCATCGAGACAACTGGCCCGATGGTTGTTGAACCCGCAGGGCGTATTGTAGGGCCGCATGATCTGTACGGACGGTGAACCGCCGACCGTACAGATACGGGCGGTACTGCTGAATGAAATAAACAATCGCCAATAATTCCCGACGGGTAACGCAGTACCGCTGTTCGGCTGGAGACAGTACCCGACTACCGTAAGCCACCACATGCTCTACGCCCCCAATGAGCTGGGACAGCACGCCCCCGATGCCCGTGTTACTTGCATCTGTATCGAGCAAGAAGGGTTGTGAAAAATCCGGGTAATTCAACGGCGGCGCCCCCACCAAAGCATTCCGGAGGGCGCGAAAAGAAGCCTCCTCCTCCGGCCCCCAATGAAACCTGACTCCCTTGGACGTCAAGGCATGCAAAGGTTTCGCAATCGTAGCGAAGTCAGCCACAAATCGCCGATAATACGACGCGAACCCAATGAAACTCCTGACCTCTCCCACAGAGGTGGGAGTCGGCCAGGAGCTGACGCATTCCGTTTTGGCGGGATCAGTGGATATCCCCGAGCGCCCAACAATGTGACCCAAATATCGCACCGATTCGCGGAGTAAATGGCACTTCTGTGGTTTAAATTTCAAATTGGCAGCCCGCATTTTGAGAAAAACAGCACGCAACCTCTGGAGGTGTTCCTCGAAGGATTTGCTAAAGACGATGACATCGTCTAAGTAAATCAAACACGAATCCCATTGCAACCCTGCCAAGACCAATTCCATTAACCGCTGAAAAGTTGCCGGCGCAGAATGTAAACCCATCGGCAAGCGGTTAAATTGGAAGAGACCCTGCGGTGTCCGAAAAGCAGTCTTAGGTTTTGATTCGTCATCCAGAGGAAGCTGCCAGAATCCAGATAGCAAATCGAGGGTGGAAAAGAATCGCGCCCCCGCCAAGGCATCGAGCGACTCATCCATTCGAGGAAGCGGGTACGCATCTGCCACAGAGATTTTGTTCAGACGCCGAAAGTCGACACAAAACCGCAGTGAGCCGTCGTGTTTTTTCACCAAAACGATCGGCGCGCCCCACGGGCTATTGGAAGGGGAAATGATATCGGCGGCTAGCATGTCATCAACAGCCGATTTGACATGATCCTTTTCGGCGGGACTCAACCGAAAGGGATTTTGGCGGATTGGCGCGCTGTCACCCGTGTCAATATGGTGTCGCAGCAATTTAGTACAACCAATATCAAATTTGTGTTGACTAAAAACGTCAGCAAATTCGCTCAGAAGAACTCGCAGCTGCGCGCGCTGCGAGTCGGACAGGTCCACTGAACCCGCGCAAAGCGCATCCAGCCAACCGTCATCACAGTCCGAATGCGGTCGCGACGGAGGATCGGTGGATACCTGACCCACGAGTGGTTCCTCATAGGGTACCGGCGTTGCGTGTGCAAGCACGGTCCCTTGAGGAACCACGGCCGTTCGCGATCCCACATTAAGGACTGCAATGAAGGGGTCCCCATCCCCTCTCACCATGGTCTGAGCCGCGAGCAAATCTGGTCCATTTACCCCGGCCCGAGATGGTCCCAACAAGACCCTCCGATCCGCAACCCCTTCATTAAACGGCCGACGCAATCTAAGAGGGACGAGCATCTGAGCCCCCGGAGGCACGCGCACAGTTTTTGTGACGAGCGCCTGCACGGTGGCAAACGCCCGACGCTCCGTGGTGGGGGAAGACAGAAATGTAACGCGTCGGCCCGATGGGAGCTCAATGCACCCTTGGTCAATAAGGATGCGGATGGGCATTTTGGCCAGAAAATCCGTCCCCAACAGGCACGGAACCGCGAGTGAGGAGGAAACCAAAACAGGCCCGGATAATTTAATGTCCCCAATGCAGATAGTGGCGCGGATTTGGCCAATAATGCCCAGAGAGCCCCCGTTAGCGGCATAGCACGGCACGTCAACAGGGAGCAAGGGACGACTTTGAACGGGAAGGATGTTATAAATTAAATCAGATATAATGGTCGCCGATGCCCCTGTGTCAATTAAAATCCGCACCTCTACCCCATCAATGTGACCGACCACGACCGATGATCCCGCCGACGCAGCAACGACACGATGGGCGAGCTCCGACCACTGACCCGGTTGGAGCGCCCGCCGCATTACCGAACGATCGCGCGCGACGGATGGGGAATTTGGAGCCCTGTTTAGTTGGGCGCGTGAGTGTGTGTCGGATGTGTGCGTGGGCCAAACGTGTGAGGTGCCGCGACTCGCCGTATTTCTCTGCTGGAGCTTGGGAGGAGACGGCGTGGCGTCCTGACGAGGTGTCGCCCCGCGCTGACGGGGAGCCCGGCATCCTGACGCAACGTGGCCTTGCAGGCCACAGTTGTAGCAGCGTGTGAGCGCCCCCGATGTCCTGGGCTGCTCCTGGCGGCTCGGTCCATTCCGAGCCTGTGGTACTGCCGCTCTCCATTCCCCTCGCCGCTCCACCCCGCAGACCTCCTCCGATGGGAGGGCGGTAGCCGCCATGGCATGGCTGGCCGCCCCCTTTGCCGCCTTTCGACGAAGGGACCGCAAGCCCCCGTGGATGTGGCGCGCGACCAGCAGGGACGACATCTCTGAGTCGTCTTGAGCCAGGACGTTGACGTCCAGCTCATCAGCGAGTAGCAGCAGCTTCTCAGCCACCATGGCATCCACTCCTTCCTCGTCCATCCTTGGGAAAGCAGCCTTCGCTAGAGCCAGGAGAGCAGTCCGGAAGGCCAGAGGTGATTCGTTGGTGCCCCGACGCCGATCGTGGAAAAGCTGCCTGCAGTCCGAAGGCGGCCCATAGACGGCTGACAGCAGCTGCAACGCCAGGTGTAGGGTGGCGCGCTTTTCCCTCGGCGCCGAGGTGAGG